ATCAGTTGTAATTTCTCCTCTTTCATTTCCAATTTTATTTGATTTCTCTGTTTTTCTTTCTAGCTAGTTTTGTCAATATTGCTTATCTTTTCAAAAAAAGTTATTATTTTCATTGTTCTTTTCTTTTGTTTTTCTAGTCTTTATTATTTCTGTTCTGATCTTATTTCCTTTCTGCTGATAACTTTGGTCTTAGTTTATTTTTCTTTTCCTAGTTTCTTGAAGTGTAAAGGTAGCTTTTCTGAGATCTTTCTCGTTTCTTAATGTAGGCATTTATCTCCATAAACTCCCCTCTTAAAACATCTTTTGCTGCATCTCATAGGTTTTGGTATGTTGTGTTTCCATCTTCAATTGCTTCAAGATATTTTTTAAAATTTCCCCTTTGTTTTCTTCCTTAACCCATTGGTTGTTCAGGAGTGTTTAATTTCCATATTATTGTTAGTTTTCCAACTTTCCTCCTGTCATGGATTTTAGGTTTCTATCACTGTGGTTGAAAAAGATACTTGGTATCATTTTAATCTTCTTAAATTTACTAACACTTGCTTTGTGACTTATCATATGACCTCTCCTGGAGAATTTTACATGTGTACTTAAGAAGCATGCGTATTCTGCTGCTGTTGGATGGAATGTTCCCTACATGTCTGCTAATCCATTTGGTCTAAAGTGTAGTCCAGATCCAACATTTCTTTGTTGATGATCCCTTTATTGTTGAAAGTAGGATACTGAAGTCCCCTACTATTATAGTATTGTTGTCTACTTCTCACTTCAGATCTCTTAGTATTTGCTGAATATATTTAGGTGCTCCAATGTTGGGCACATATATATTCACAACTGTGATATCTTCTTGATGAATTGACTCCTTTATCATTATATAATGACCTTCTTGGTCTCTTGTTATTGTTTTTGGCTTTAAGTCTATTTTCTCTGATACAAGTAGAGCTAGCTCTGTTCTCTTTTGGTTTCTACTTGCATGGAGTATCTTTTTCATGCCTTCACTTTGAGCCTATGTGTGTCCTTAAAGTCGAAGCAAGTCTCTTGTAGTCAGCATATAATTGGGTCTTATCCAGCCACTCTATGCCTTTTAATCAACATACGTTTACAGTAATTATTGATAGGTAATGACTTCTTAGTGCTATCTTGTTAATTGCTTTCTGGCTATTTTGTAGTTCCCTTGTTCCTTTCTTCCTCTCTTGCTGCCTTCCTTTGTGAATTGATGACTTTCCATAGTGGTATGCTCTGATTCTCTTCTCTTCTGTGAATCTGCTACAGGGTTTTGCTTTGTGGTTACCATGAAGCTTACATAAAACATCTTACAGATATAACAGTTTATTTTACACTGATAACAACTTTACATACAAAAACTCTAACCTTTTACTCCCCCTTTTTATGTTTTTGATGTCACAATTTACCTCTTTTTTAAAAAAATTATTTTTGGCTGCGTTGGGTCTTTGTTGCTGCACGTGGGCTTTCTCTAGTTGCAGCAAGCAGGGGCTACTCTTCTTTGTGGTGCGCGGGCTTCTCACTGTGGTGTCTTCTCTTGTTGTGGAGCATGGGCTCTAGGCACGCAGGCTTCAGTAGCTGTGGTGCACGGGCTCACTAGCTGTGGCACACGAGCTTAGTTGCTCCACGGCATGTGGGATCTTCCCAGACCCGGGCTTGAACCCATGTCCCTCCATTGGCAGGCAGGCAGATTCTTAACCACTGTGCCACCAGGGAAGTCCACAATGTACCTCTTTATATTGGGTATTTATTAATAAATTGTAGCTATAGCTATTATTAATACCCTTGTCCTTTAACCTTTATACTGTCCTATAACTTTTAATACAGCACCATATAACAGTATCAGAGTATTCTGAAGTTGGCTATGTGTTACTAATTAGCATCCTTTCATTACAGCTTGAAGAACTCCAGTCAGCATTTCTTGTAAGGCAGGTTTTGTGGTGGTGAATTCTGTCAGCTTCTGTTTGTCTGAGAAAGTCTCTCTCCTTCGTTTATGAAGGACAACTTTGCTGGACAGAGAATTCTTGACTGGCAGGGCTTTTTTTTTTTTTTCCTTTCAGCACTTTGAATGTATCATCCCACTCTCTCCTGGCCTGTCAAGTTTCTGCTGAGAAATCCACTGATAGCCTTATGCAGGTTCTTTTGAAAGTTATAAGCTTTTTTCCTCTCTTGATGCTTTTAAGACTCCTTGTTTTAGATTTTTAACAGTTTTATTATAATGTGTATTGGAGAGGATCTCTCTAGGTTGATTTTGTTGGGTGGCCTACCAGCTTCGTGAATTTGGAGATCTAAATCTCTGCCCAGGTCTGGAAAAAATTCTTAGCCACTATTTCTTTAAATAAGCTTTCCGTCCTCTCTTCTCCTTCCAGAACACCAATAATTCACAAATTAGTTCTTTGGATAGTACTGTATATATCATGTAGGCTTTCTCATTCTCTTCCATTCTTTTTTCTTTGTTCTCTCCTCTGACTAGGTAACTTCAAAGTTCTTCTCTTCTGTCTTCTGACTGACCTATTCTGCTACTTTTTACATGTGTACTTGAGAAGCACGTGTATTCTGCTGCTGTTGGATGGAGTGTTCCCTACATGTCTGCTAATCCATTTGGTCTAAAGTGTAGTCCAGATCCAACATTTCTTTGTTGATGATCCCTTTATTGTTGAAAGTAGGATACTGAAGTCCCCTACTATTATAGTATTGTTGTCTATTTCTCACTTCAGATCTCTTAGTATTTGCTGAATATATTTAGGTGCTATTGATGCTCTTTATTATATTTTTCATTTCATTCACTGTATTCTTCACCTTCAGAATTTGTTTGGTTCCTTTTAATATTTTCTATCCTTTGTCAAATTTCTCATCTTGTTTGTGTACTGTTTTTCTAATTTTGTTGACTTGTCTTTGTGTTTTCTTGGAACTCACAGAGTTTCCTTAGAACAGCATATTTGAATTCACTACGAGAAAAATCAGATCTCCATGTCTTGGGTTGGTTACTGGAAGATTATTGTGACGTCATGTTTCCTTGATTTTTCATATTCCTTGAAGTTCTGCATTGCTGTCTTCCCATTTGAAGTTAAAGTCACCTCCTCCTGTCTTTATTAACTGGCTTCAGGAGAGAAGTATCTTCCATCAGCCCTGCTAGTGACTGAGGCTTTCTCAGGCCTTCTCTGGTTACACCTGATCCACACTTCTTGCTCCCTCTTGTGGCAGAATCCTCAAGCTTATACGCCTCCCCTCGATCTGCAATGCACCAAACCATGTATTGGCTGCCTCCCTTTTGTTTGTCAAAGGTGGCCCTAAAGCTCATTTGTGGCTTCTCCCTGGCCTGCAGATTCAAGCCTGCATTCTTTGTGTGCTTGAATATCACCCACCATCTGCCAGACCCTGCTCTCACCACTGCTGCTGGGAGCACACACAGGGAGCCAGCCACAGGGTCAGGGGGTTTGTGTGTGGGTGAGGCATACTGAGCACTGGGGACACCCGTGCGCCCGTTGGAGGATCTGCAGGTGAGGCATTCCCAGCGGCTCCAGGGCAGGCTTCTTGAATGTGGTTAGCAGGCTCTGTGCCCCTTTAACGCCCTCTGAGGGAGCTACGTGCCATTCTCCGTCCCCTCCTGCCTCTCAGTCATGCAGTTCATGTTTCAGTACTCTGGATGTGGGGAGAGAGAAAGGAGCTCCCTTGGCAGCCTCCCGTGAGCCACGTGTCACTCACAAGCTCTCACTTTCCCTGAGAGAAATCACAGGCTGAGATCTCTCTTGGCCCTAAGCTGTGTCCCCTTGGGGGAAGGGATGGTGCAAGTCAGGTCAAGCTGTTCCTCTCATCCTCTCAATGCTTCCAAACTCCGAGTTTTTCTGCTCCAAAGGTGTGCTGGAACTTCTCATCTGGAAACCAGGACTTGTACAAAGGCTCTATGGTCTGTGGGTGATTGCCTTAGACAGTGTTTTCCAGGGGCTCCTGGACCAAGGCCAAGGGGGGCTGGAGCCAGTTCACAGGCTACTGCAGGGTCCACAGCCAGGACCCAGGTCTTTATCCCTATTAGCTGACTCACGGGGAAGCAAGACTCCTCTTAGGTTCCTTGGCATATGATGCTGGATCCCACAACTCCCAAAAAGGTACTTTTGTCTGTGCTTGGATGCCAAATTATGTCCTTGAGGGAGAAACAAAGGATGTCTTACTCCGCCATGGGGCTCATGTTACCCCTCAAGGGTTTGTTGATCTAATCTACATTTCTTTGAGAGTGTGCACTTTCTTTCTCCTCAATTTCTTCTTTGGGATTTACTGGACCATGTCCTCTGCCAATTCTTCCTTGGAGGTGATGGCATTTTCTTCCTTTTAAAATTCTTTAGATAGTAACAATACCAATTATTTCAAATAAATATGGCAAATACTGCTCCCAGCTTGTGACTCTCAATCATGTTTATAGTGTTTTTTGGCTTCTCTTTTTATAGTCAGAGTATCATTTTCTGGTGATATTTTCCTTTTTCACCATGTTTTCATGATGATGTATTTAAACTTACAGCACATTTTAATCACCTGCCGCCAGAAGGATCAACTTTGGAAGAGACCAATTACTGGGAAAAGTGATGCATTATCAAAACAGAAAAAGAACTGTATTTTTAAAAATGCAAAAGTATTAAAATCCTGTAAGAGCCCTTTATAAGAGCAATGCAAGATATTCAACGTACATCAGAGTATACACTTCACAATTGTCCATCCTCTGCCCCATCTCAGCCCCTAAAATCCTGTATTGATCTATGTGGTTGGTTTGACAGCCAGCATAAAGTGGAAATGCAAGAATCAGCAGGATCAAGTCCAAGAAGAATGAAGCCAGATGGCTTTGTAGAACCCAACGTGAAAAGACATGTACAGTAGGAATTATTACACTGTTTAACCATTCTTACAAAAATTAATGAGAGTTTTTAAAGAAGTCCTTTTTTTAAACTGCAGAAATGATCTTCAGTAGTCCAACTGGGAGACGATAGATTTACAGGCACTTTAGACAAGATGACTCCAGTCATATAAAAGTTTAGTTTTATTATAGGCACTTTACACAAACATTCAGTACTTTTTGCTACTTCTATAATCTTTTAGCAAGGTAGTCAGTTACAGTCTGAATAAGAAAATATAAACAAAAATTATACACTTTATTAACAAAATCTACTTTGAATGATTCTATAAATTTTATAATGCAATTAAAACCATTACTTTTCTCCAACTGATGCTGTTTCTTTCTGTTCCTTCAATTATAGTCTCTGAAAACTCTGAACTGGGTGGAATGATCTTCCACTGCAGCAGGAAATGTTAAATAAGTAACTCTACATCGTTTTCCCAGGAAGTGCTCACTTTTTCAATTTTGATTAAATGCCATATTTTAACACAAATATTAGGCAATATTTAATAGCTCATATGGTCACAGTTCGCTAGCGCTTTGCTCCAGCCTGGACACTGACCATGGAGAAATAGATGCCTTTCTGCGCCAGCAGCTGCTGGTGTGTGCCGTGCTCCTTGACTTTGCCGTTCTGAAACACCACTATCAAGTCTGCATTCTGAATGGTGGACAGGCGGTGAGCGATGACGATGCAGGTGCGCCCTTCTTGGGCTTTGTCCAGGGCTTCTTGGACAACCTGTTCAATAATCACACAAATTAACTCTGATCATAATAATCCACTCCCTTGAATTTCTCTTCCATAACAAGCCTCACAATTAATTTCTCCAACGATACGTGCCTCTTTAACAGTGGTGTCAATGGAATATAACATAGATTTTACAAAGCAAGGGATCTGTCGTATCAGAAGAATACTGAATCCTAATTTGGTTTATCTCAGAGTTATGACTGTAAATACAGCCTATGCAATCATTTAGAAGCACTTAGTAGTGTGCCCAGCCTTGTGACATCTTTCTGGTCTAGCACTACAGTAAATACAGGAAGCCTGAGCACAGGCCAAACAGAGCCTCCTTGAATTTTGGTATTTTTAAGATAAAAAAAACTCAGAATGAGTTTATCTTTCAGACACCTGAACACTCCACTTCTTCTCAAACTGAAAACAATTACTACTATTTACCTTCAAGTACAGTCAGCTTTTAACATTGTTCTGTGCTTCCACTTTTTTATATAGTTGTTGAGGAGATGCTGCCAGGAGAAATGGGACTATGGCCTGAATGCAGCTTCTTAGATCAATACAAAGTGATCCGGGGCTGACTTTTGGAGCACAAGCATTATAAGACTAATCTGCCTTGTTTCATCTTAGTTCTCTTGAATGACAGCTACCGAAAGTGTTTAGATTCCACTGAAAGTAACAAAACTCAGTATCTGGCTGAATTGTGTTCTCTACTGTAGAAGACAGAAGCATAAACTTAAAACCTTTTAAGGGACAACTGCTTCAAGTGTGAATGAGTCCACGTTAAATTCTTACCTTTTCACTTTCTGTATCCAGAGCTGATGTAGCTTCATCCAGAAGCAATATACGAGGCTGTCTAACAAGGGCACGAGCTATCGCAATGCGCTGCTTCTGGCCACCAGAGAGCTGAGTTCCTTTGTCTCCTACTCTGGTGTTATATTTCTGTAAATAGGGTTTTGTTATGATGAAGAGTAGAACTGATAAAGTTCTGAAATAGAGTGTGCTTGCAGAAAATAGGATAACCACTTCCATGTACACAAAAAAGTTTAGGTTCAGAAGCTAAGAATGGGTTGAAGGAGAGTTAAACAACAAAAACATAGCTCTGAATGGCAGGATTAACCTCTCTTCTTGAAGACAGACGTTTGGGTCTTAAAAGTTATGCTTTAGTGTAGACAAGTCAACATATTTACGAGGAAGATGACTGTTGCAATGTGAGGCTCTTCCAGCCTTCTGGTTTCATTGCATTTGGGACAAAGATTGGTAGGAGGAAGGAAATTTGATTTTAACAGGCTATGCATAATAAAATAATTGAAACTCATTTTATTTATAACCAGCAGGTGATGCTCTCTGCATTATTTTAAAGTGAGGAAGGACGCAAGAGGGAGGGGATATGGGATGTATGTATACGTATAGCTGATTCACTTTGTTATACAGCAGAAACTAACACACCTTTGTAAAGCAATTATATGCCAATAAAGATGTTAAAAAAAATAAAATGTCGATTACGATAATATTCTTTTAAAAAAAAGTGAGGAAGGGAAGAAATTCTTGGGATGTTAGCCTTTTGTTGTCTGTTTTTATAAGACTATTTCCAAAGCTTCAACAATTTTAATGGATACTAAGAAACTCTATTCGATATCTAACTTGAAAAGCTGAAATCTCCTGATTGACTTTTGTTTTCAGAGTTCTCCTGAAAATTTTCACATATTGTTTCCCAGAGCAGATAATGCTCACTAAGTATCCAATGTGATAATAGGACAGGAATTAATAGGGTATGTAGGGGAGAGCAGAAATGTAATGGGTAACCTAAAAAAACCATATTATCTTTTTATTTTCAGGTCCTTGCCAGGCTGAAATGTTAGTCAAACTGTGGGCTCTGATTCTGACATCCAGAGTTTGACTTTAAAATTCATGTTCCACTTCCTACACTGTTGGTGGGAATGTTAAGCTGGCGCAGCCACTATGCAAAACAGTATGGCGGTTCTTCAGAAAACTAAAAATAGAATTACCGTATGATCCAGCAATCCCACTCCTGGGCATATATCCAGACAAAACTATAACTCAAAAAGATACATGCACCCCTATGTTCACAGCAGCACTATTCACAATAGCAAGACATGGAAGCAACCTAAATGTCCACCGACAGATGAACAGATAAAGAAGATGTGGTACATGTATACAATGGAATATTACTCAGCCATAAAAAAGAACAAAATAATGCCATTTGCAGCAACATGGATGCAACTAGAGATTATCATACTAAGTGAAGTTAAGTCAGAAAGAGAAAGACAAATACCATTATGATACCACTTATACATTTCTGGAATCTAAAATATGACACAAATGAACCTGTCTACGAAACAGAAAGAGACTCATAGACATAGAGAATAGACTTGTGGTTGCCAAGGGGGAAGGGGGGAGGGGAGGGATGGAGTGGGAGGCTGGGGTTAGCAGATGTAAGCTATTACACATGGAATGGATACACAACAAGGTCCTACTGTATGGCACAGAGAACTATATTCAGTATCCTATGATAAAACATAATGAAAAAGAATATTAAAAAAAGAATGTGTGTGTGTGTATATATATATATATAGCTGAATCACTTTGCTGTACAGCACAAATTAACACAACATTATAAATCAACTATCCTTCGATTTAAAAAAAATTCATTCTATGTAGGGTTGCCCATTTTTACTTGCTATTTCTGGCAACCTTAGTTCTATGGCATTCAACATAGAGCTCTCCACCTGCAGGTGCAGTAAGCGAGCCCAGGGGAGGTTCCGGCAGATGCTAGCGACTGGCCCAGCCCAGAGCTGCAGCCACCAGGGAGGCCAGAGCACTGGAGCAAGTCCCATGAGGGTGCAGAGGTTGCCAGGCTGCACTGCCACAGTATCGACCCTGTTGAGGCAGATAAAGGCAGGGCTGTACCCCTGAGAGGAGGAAACTAGACCAGCCCCCTGCAGGGTGAGGTAAATCCTAGTGCGAACCATTCAGGTGAAGAAGTAGATCCTTGGACAGAAAATAGGACTTAAGTGGTTTTGCCTTCTCTTTCCAGGTCTAGACATTGAGGAAAAGACTTATGATGTCTACAAGTGTGCTCTGTAGACAGAGCCCAGAGCCCAGAAAGGTAGGTCCCGGTGGTAGACAAAAGTGAGAGGGGCAAGGTATATTTCATAAGCTAGATAATAATTACTCTCTGTATTTGCCTTTGTTAACCCCTAGCCCAGTGGTTCTCACACTTTACCTGCAACAGCATCACCTGGGATATTAAAACACAGATTGCTAGACCCTACCTCCAAGTTTCTGATTCACTAGGTCTGAGGTCAGGCCTGAAAATCTGCATTTCTTACAAGATCCCAGGTGACGCTGATGTTCTGGCCCACGCCCAGACTTTGAGAACACTGACCTCGCCATGAGTAAAGGGAATTAAAGTTACATGCTTTGAATGTTCTAGCCTTGGGAAGGGCCAATTATCCACAGATGGGCTAGAAGGTTAAAGGAGGGGAGTGGACAACGCCTCTTCCCTGGGGCCTATGATGTGTGGTGACAGCAGTTATCCAAAGAAGAGTCTCCAGAAAAGGAAATCTTGGGAGAGGGTTGGGGCCGTAAGGCATTGCCATCTTTCCCCATGAGGAGAGGACCTTCTCCGCCAGTTTCAGGCTACTGAGCTTTACATTTTAGTTCTTCCTTAAAATAAAGAACATAACTTATGATAATGGGGGCGGGTGGGTTAGAGAAGATAGGTCTAGATTGCAATGCAAAATACAGGAGCTAAGAGGCTTAAGAGAGGGCAAGAGGTTCCATTTACCTAACTTCCTAGGAGGAATTCAGAAGGCATCTGTGGGACAACAGCCCAGGAAAGGTTTCAATAATCAGCCCTACAAGCAGAGGTTGGGGCGCATGGAATGTGCAATGGTGAGAGATGACACTCCAATGGCTCAGCCTTCCTCAGAGCCTTCTTTCTGGCACGGGGCCAGTTCCCTGGCCTGGCCCGACTCCACAGAGGGAGGTTTGAGGCTTGGGGGAGAGCAGCAAGGAGGCGGAAGGAAGGAAGGTTGGGAGAGAAATGGTGGGGGAGGGTCACTCTTGCTTCTGTGGGCCCTGCACCCAGACTTGGAGGGAAAGGCCTCCCAGGCATATGTATTTTTCGGTCAGGCTGCTCACAGGGAATGAGTCGGGTGACCAGGTAAACATCGCATCCACTGGGGATGGGAAGTGCAGGCAGATGCTTGTATACAGGTGGACGTGTGTTTTAGTTGCTCATTTCACCTTTGGGATCCAGCCCTTTTGAAGTCACAAGCATAGGCCAGGGGGGCTGCCACAGGCTCCCAGGTACCTTATTTGGAGAGAGACTTACATCAGGCAGCGTCTCGACGAAGGGGTGTATGTTGGCCTCCTTGGCTGCCTGCACGATCTCCTCCTGTGACACGACCCGGCTGTTGTCCCCGTAGGCGATGTTCTCGCCGATGCTGCAGTCAAACAGGACGGGCTCCTGGGACACGATGCCCATGTGTGCTCGGAGCCACTGGACATTCAGGTGCTTTATTTCCTTGCCGTCAATTAGCTGAAAACAAGAGATCACAGATCATCTTCAGAACCAGCACATTTTTTGAATTTAGCAAAATTAATATCGTTATTTCATACACTAAGACTGCCAAGTTATTATGAGACTTTTGTTGTTGTTTTCCATTTGGATTGTCAAGGTTAACTGAATAAGGTCATAATTGTATGCTTTGAGGAACCATCATATTTCTTCTGTTTCAACCCTATGCATGTGGTAGGCAGAATAATAATAACCTCTCCTCCATCCAAGACATCCATGTTCTCGTTCACGAAACCTGCGAATGTTATTCACAAGTGTAGATGGAATTACGATATAAGGTTGCTCGTCAGCTGATCTCAAAATGTTGAGGTTACCTTAGATTATCCAGGTGGACCCAACATAATCATAAGGGTCCTCAACTGTGCAAGAGGGGGGCAGGAGAGTGTGTATCACAGTGGAGCAATATGAGGAAGACTCAACCGGTCACTGCCGGCTTTGAAGATGCAGGAAGGGGCCACAGGCTAGAAAAGGTAAGAAAGCAGATTCTCCCCTAGAGCCTTCAGAAGGCACAGAGCCCTGCTGACACCGTGACTTCAGCCCAGTGAGATCCACTTCGGACACATGACCTCCAGAATTTTTAAGATAAATCTGTGTCGTTTCATCCCACTAAATTTGCTGTCATTTGTTATAGCTGCCACAGGAAACTAATAAAATGCATTCTAATTCTGGGATGTATTCTGACATCCTTATTCTTATGCACTGATTTTTCACAGGAAAAGTAGCCACCATTAGATTGGAAATAACTAACTGCTATACCGTAGAATAGGTTTGTAGGTCACGTTTCTGATCTGACCTGTTAGTTAGGATCAAGTTTTTGAGGACTTAAATGAAACAGAATTGAGCGTCGGAAGGTGGCTGTTATATCTCTAAATCGTTGTTGATCTTAGGAATGTGAATTAATGTCTCTTAGTTTCTTTGTAAACTGGGAATGATAATTCCTAAAGTCAAAGAATTGAGGATTAAATGAAGTCATGTATGAACCCTACTGAGCACACTGCTGGGCACACGGTATGTGAAGGACTGTCTGCGATTTGGATCTGACCCAAAGGAGCTGGAGGGAGAGGCTGCCCTTTCTCTAGTGACCTGTCTCCCCTTGGATTATCCTGCAGAAGCCTGGGGCGTACCCATACAGCCTGGCCGATAATAATCCTTGCTCTCTGATGCAGATGTGTCTGCCCCGAAGACCTACTTTGCAAGAGAACGCTGGCATTCAAGTGAGAGCTGTTCATCCTCCCTGAAGAAGACACCAGTGACTCAGCTTTGAGCGTTTATAATAGTGGTGATGAGTATGTCCTGAGCTATATATACACTTTGAATCCCGTGTACCTGGCTGGGTGCCTCTGGGAGACAGCTGGCCAGGGGTAGGGTACAGTCTTTGCTGCAGGAAGACAGCTTCTGTTTGTGAAGCTGGCAGGTGCAAGGATGGATGGAAAACACACCCATGACCTCATTAGTACCAAGCCCAGTTGCCATGGAGACTATTCCAAGCATCTATGCTCCAGGCTTCCTCACAGTGTTAAGTGAAGGTGGAAAGTAGAGAGTGAAGAGAGGCAGGAAAAACCATACAAGTATGTGGCGAAACAGCAGATCTTGTTAGATGGAACAGTGTGAAAAACGGAAATCTGAGGAAAGAAAGAGTAGTTTTTTAAAAAACTTTTTTCCAGGCTTATACCCCTGGGAGAAAAAATAGACACCATCAAACAAATACAGTCAGACAAATATGACTGATCCCAGCAAGTTTTCATGAGCTTCTCCATCACACTGCATACAAGAAGACGTTTGGGCCTCCTCAGCCCCATGCTACACACAGCAACTACAAACTATTTAAAACCTGTGTTTGCTAAAGAATCCTTTCCTTAGGGGAAACACGTTTAGAAGACCAAATATAAAAAGATCAACGCAGAGCTTCTTTGGCTGCGGCAGATGGCCCTCTGAGGGAAGACCAAGGAAGTCCAGGGCGTCAGTGAACACTGCTCAGAAGATACTGGTCCTGGGACTTCCCTGGCGGCCCAGTGGTTAAGACTCTGCACTTCCAATGCAGGGGCTGTAGGTTTGATCCCTGGTTGGGGAACTAAGATCCCACATGCTGTGTGGCACGGCGGGATAAAAAAAAAAAAAAAAAAGATGCTGGCCTAAATAAAAACTTAAAGTAACACACTGACAATAACACACTGACAATAACAATGGAAGGCCAAAAAACAAATAAATAAACAAAAACAATGAAAGGCTAAATTCAAATGACGAGCTATCTCTATTCTAAACTTAAATCTACTACCTGATTTCAGTAGCACAATCAAATGTGAAATATGTATTATCCTGCTGTATGTATTGACTCTGAAATGGTAATCATAGATAAAATATTGAGCATCGACTATATTATAGGTCCTGTTATAAGCACACCTCATGCCCTCTCTCGTTTAATATTCACGACAACGCTCGCGAGGTAGATGCGAGTTTAATCCCCATTTTACCGATGAGGACATGAGCAGAGTTAAGTCACTTGTGCAAGGTCACACTCTTAGTGACTGAGGGAGCTCGGATCGGACCTACACACTACAGGTTGCATTTTAGCAACACAGTGTCTCAGAATTGAAAAATACTTTCTGTCTTCCCTCAAAAGAGCAATGTCTCCATCTTAGCCCCGGCACCCACTGGGTAATACCCAGACAACAGGCTGCTGTGTCCTAAGGGGGAGAGAGGACTCTGGTGGCAGCGCATAGCATGGGCCGGCAAGGGAAGAAAGGATAGGTCAGGGGAAGACTCAAACCAGAGTGAGTCTCAGTGAAGCTAATGAACTTAAGATTCAAGGACGCCCATTTGCAGGCAAATGCTGGGAGTTGAACGGTGTTCTGGATGGAAGGGAGCCCAGGTCTTCTGGGTGAGCATTTAGGATAACCTGCCTAAAAAGGAGAGGGACCAGAATCTTTAAGGTTTCAATATTTTGTTGTGAATTTTTCTCATTTGAAGGAAATATTCACTTTCATATCTAATTGTGTGTTCATAACTTTGTATTCTTTCAAGTAGAGTCCCTGAAATTGTATAACTTTCAGGCCCCACCAAACCTGGAAACTCCACTCTCTGAACAATTCCATAGCTTGGTTTTGCAAGACTTGCCACAATTTGATCTCAACCTTTTAAAGTTATCAGTTCAGAGGTTCTCCACCTCTGGTTGGCATCAGAGTCACCTGGGAAAAATCATAAAAATGAAAAGGCTAGGTCCTGACCTTCATAAATGAGCCGGGGTGGCTGTGTTCTCTAGTAGCTCTCTAGGCCATTATGATCCACGCCAACTTGAGAACCTCTGCTCAGGTCAATGTTTCTCAGAGTGTGATTCGAGGCTCGTTGATGGTCATGAGGATTTCCCGACCTCCTCAGGGTCAAGTCCTTGCTTCAAATGATCATTATGATCAAATGATGCTCAAATGCATAGACTCATTTTTTATGGCAACAAGAACTAATCATAGGACTTCCCTGGCGGTCCAGCAGTTAAGACTCCATGCGCTTTGGGACTTCCCTGGTGGCACAGTGGATAAGACCTCCAAGCTCCCAATGCAGGGGGCCTGGGTTCGATCCCTGGTCAGGGAACTAAATCCCACATGCATGCCACAACTAAGGAGCTGGCCTGCCACAACTCAGGAGCCCACATGCCACAACTAAGAAGACTGCATGCTGCAACTAAGGAGCTGGCAAGCTGCAGTTAAGGAGCCCACCTGCCACAACGAAGACCCGGTGCAACCAACCAAATAAATAAATAAATAAATATTTTTAAAAAAAGACTCCAAGCTTCCACTGCAAGGGGTGTGGGTTCAATCCCTGGTGGGGGAACTAAGATCCTGCATGCCACGAGGTGTGGCAAAAAAAAAAAAAAAAAAAAGAAAAAAGAAAGAACTAATAACCTATTAACTGAGTTATTCAGGGTCACTAACTGACATTCATAAACAAAACCTGGCACATTTACTAATGTGTATCGAGGGCACTTCCACTAAGAGGTCTGCCTGCTGTGGAGCACTTGGCAGTATTTCGAAGCTCTAGTGTAAATGCACAGGAGCAGATCACCGTACTCCCTGCAATGGAAGAGGACACTTTGTTTTCAGGGCATGATCGGTGTTGTCTTGAGATGGTTACTGTCCTATACACTCAGCATTCACTTCCATATTCTTCTGTGTCTGTCCTTCCACATATCAAGGGAGTGGAGGACTAATAACTGTTTCCCAGGCTCGCTCCTGGTTCTAGAAGTAACTGAGGTTCTACCGGTGAGATGCAGTGTGCAAAATCTGGGAGACAGAGGCCGTGGTAAACTAACACCTGTGTTTTGGCAGACGGGAGTTTTTACAACACCCAGACACTGGTCTTGTGTCTTCAGGTTTGGAGCAGCTGTGACACTGGCATCATTTCGTACAACCTCCTGGCCACAGGACTCCAGCTGAGATGCTGTGATTTGAATGTTGGGAGTGCTGACTTTGACTTTTACTTCCACTCTTCCAGCCCTTCCGGTGATTCTATAAGCACCGAATGCCCCTTACTGAATATGTATCTGCGTGAAATACCTAGAGCAGCTTCTGTTTCCTACACTGAACCATAACTGATACGGTCCATGTTTTAAATTTCGCTCCCCTTGTGCCTATGAACACGGAGAATAATCATTCATTTCTTTACTTTCTTCTTGTCTAATTACTGCACGTATGTTTACCATTGTTGTTTTCAACTCCAACACTATTAACGCCAAGTGTTTTTTCCCACTACAGTGACTGTAGTAAGGGTGGTGGGGGGGGAATTCTTTTGGTCTTTCCTAGGTGGGTTATCATCAAAAAAGTTTGAGAACCATGACTCTAATTAAATCTGCTATTTCAGCCAAACTGGCCTATATGCCGCATTGGGAACAAATCAGTCATCAGCCACAGCTCACGTCATCCCTTTCATCGAACGATGCCTTGATTGCTCACCCTTACAGCTTTACGCAACCAGCTTTAATTATCCCTTAAGAACTAGCTCTAGGCCTATCTTCTTTAATGAACTCATGGAAGGATATGTCCCATCTCTTCAGTTGAAATCTTTGAGGACAGACACCATCCCCTGTAACTCATTAGAGCTCAACATTTAACACACTGCTTAAGAAATGTCTCTTAAGGACCACGATCAGTGTCTGAGAGCTAAAATTTCCTCCTCTGATTGCTTCCTGTGTCAGCAAGGTTTTCATTGAGAGTTCTCTGCCCAAACTTTAACCACAAAATTGAAGCATGAAGTCAGAATTCACAGAAGATATAAAACAAGGTAGTACAAATAAGGAACAAAGCTTGAGGAACAAAGTTTCCACAACTGTCAAAGAATGGACTGAGTAAAGGCATAACTGTCTGTGAATACAATAAGAAATATTTATGATAACGGTGACTACCGTGGGGAAGTGAAAAGGGCCCTGGCCTACAGGATGAAAATTCTATTTTCACATCAATCATTAACGCAAGTAGGGCCCATATAGAGCTGGCAAGCATCGGTCTGACTATACAAAGTAGTATATCCACTGGCCTGGATGGACAGTGCCCAAGCCCATTCCAGTTGTTGAATATTTTGAATATCACCTCTGAGTTTGACCAGTAACTCAGTGCCTACATAATGAAAATGTTTTCCTCTGAATTCCATTCCTACCTAGTTTGATTCTTTTCCTAGTCCCCATTATAGTCATTTAAAAATCCACTACTCGGGATTCCCTGGTGGCGCAGTGGTTGAGAGTCCGCCTGCCGATGCAGGGGACACAGGGTCCTGCTGCGGTCCGGGAAGATCCCACGTGCCGCGGAGCGGCTGGGCCCGTGAGCCATGGCCGCTGAGCACGTCCGGAGCCTGTGCTCCGCAAGGGGAGAGGCCGCAACAGTGAGAGGCCCGCGTACCGCAAAAAAAAAAAAAAAAAATCCACTACTCCCGGGAGTTCCCTGGCGGTCCAGTGGTTAGGACTTCGCGCTTTCACTGCCATGGCCCGTATTCTCCAGCCTTTCCCTCAACCCTGCTACTCTACCTTCCTCTGCAAGCAGCAGAGTCCCCTCGTTGGGGAACTAAGATCCCACAAGCTGTGCAGCACGGCCAAAAAATCATAACAGTAATAAAATGTCACTACTCCCTTCAAGACTCCTATGTCATTCCCAGTACCTAAGACAGTCCCTGACACGAACTCACTGACAGTTTATTGAACGTTGCATGAATAAATCTGACCCTTCACTTACTCTTTTAGTTCAGGAAACAAAGGAGAATCCCTCTATGTTCTTTATCTGTTTCCCAAATTTGTTGATCTCGCTTTTTTTCTTTTTCCTTAGAAGATGTTTGAATTCCCTCTCTCCATCAATGGTTTTATCTCATCCTCAGCCATAAAAATGTTCAAGATTCCCCATGCTAAACATCTTCCCTGGGCTCTGCCTCTCCACTCTTATTTTCCTTTCCTTCTCCTTTGATCTTCTAGCTAGTCTACACTTCGCTCAGTCTCCATTTCCCCTCCTGACCACACCTCAGCCATGCTCAACTGTTTCCTACCACCATCACTTCACTAAGAAGACTGTGAAATGTCAGAAGCAGCCCATTCATTGCCAAATCCTCCCATGTGTTTTCAGTCTCCGTCTTACCCCATCTCTCCACGGCATTTGTCAGTGCCGACTACCTTCTCCTTGTTGAAACCCTTCCCATCCCTGGCTTCCATCTTACTAGTCTCTCTCAGCACCTCTCCTCTGTCTTTCTGGCTTTTTTTCCTGCATCTGCTCATGTAAACTGAGACCTAACCAAGGGAAGGGGGATGGCTGGTAAAAAGGCTGCTTGCAGAGGAAGGTAGAGTAGCAGGGTTGAGGGAAAGGCTGGAGAAGTTGGCTGGGGCAGTGGACACAGCTTGGAGACTATATCTAGGATGTCAGACTTTAAGTGGGACCACTGTTTAAAAGTTTCTAAAGCCACGGCTTATAGTTGAGAATTAAATACATCTAGGCAGGGGTTTCCCTGGCAGTCCAGTGGTTGACACCTTGCCTTCCAGTGCGGGTTCGATCCCTGGTCGGGGAGCTGGGATCCCACATGCCACACGGCCAAAAGGCCAAAGCATGGAACAGAGATAATATTGCAACAAATTCAATAAAGACTTTGAAAAGAGTCCACATCAAAAAAAAAAAAAAAAAAAAAAACTGAAAAAAAATACATCTAGGCATTTAGAAGATGAAAAAATTGTAATGAGCTAAATAAGAAAGTGTGCTCAGACCTAGAGATTATGACACTAAGTGAAGTCAGACAGAGAAAGACAAATATCATATAATATCACTTATATGTGCAATCTCAAAAAATAATACAAATGAACTTATTTACAAAACAGAAATAGACTCACAGACATAGAAAGCAAACTTAGGGTTACCAAAGGGGAAACATGGCAGGGAGGAATAAATTATGAGCCCGGGATTAACATACACACACTACTACATATAAAATAGATAACCAACAAGGACCTACTGTATATGCTCCCTATAGTATAGGGAACTCTACTCAGTATTCTGTAATAACCTATACAGGTAAAGAATCTGAAAATGAATGAATATATGTATATATATATAACTCAATCACTTTGCTGAGTGATTTACAATACTGTAAATCAACTCTACTCCAATAAATTTTTTTTAAAAAGAAGAAAAAAAAGTGTGCTCACCACTGTTCCAGCCAAGGGGTCGTAGAACCGCTCCAGGAGCTGGACCACCGTGCTTTTCCCACAGCCGCTGCTGCCCACCAGGGCCAGCGTCTGGCCCTTCTTCACCTCGAGGCTCAGCCCCTGAAGCACTGGGATGTCTGGTCGAGTGGGATAGTTGAACACGACTTCATTAAATGTCACATTTCCTTCCACTGTATTCTAAAATCAGAACAATAACAGTAAATTTGATTGCTGCAATCCTGAAAATTCACAATAGCCAACCCTCTCTACCGCTAGGTATCAGAAGGTAGTGAACTTGTACTACAGTCAGGCTTCATTTGTAACTGCTAAAATGTAATACATAAGATCTAAAAGGGTCAGTGTTTTCATAGCATGTCTCATTCACACAATACAAATGTGAAAACTCAAATCTGTTCCCCAAGAATAGGGTCACCTACATATAATAAAACCTGATTAGCAGGAGTTGTGTATAAAATGGGCAGTATTTCTACATCCGTGTGGCTTTGTTCTACAAAAGTACTAGACGTTAACTTGTATTATCAGCATTTACTAAAAGGAACTAAAAGGACAGAGAAACTTTCATTTTATTACCACCAAATAAAAAAAGCACAGATTTTATTAAACTTCCACTTAGAATACTAAAATTCATCAGTTAGGAGCAGATCACATAATCAAAACATCAAACTGACCGGCTTTAGGCCTTCCGTGCTGTAGCTGTCGATCACAGGGGCTTTTTCAATGATCATGATGACGTGGGCTGCTGACACTTTGGCCTTGGCATAGTCAGGAGCAAATGAACTGACCTGACCCACAGCCATCGCGCCAAAGACAATGGCTGAGAACACTCTGCCAACGACAAAGGCAAAATGTGCAAAGAGTTAGGACTGCAATGCTAGAAAGGTGACGCTCCTACACCCAGAGAGCACTGTCTCAAACAGTCACAACACGTTAGTCAAAAAGTTTCAAAAAAAAAACCAAACACTTTTCCTTATAAGTTCATATCGGTATAACTGACTGATTGTAAATTGACCCCATGTTTCATCTCTCTCTGTGTCCTCACATTCTTGTAAGTGACTTTGCAGCTCCTCCACTGAAGAAGGAGAATTTGTTTTCCTACCCTTTGAATCTGGGTTGGCCTTGGAATTTGCTTTAGCCAACAGGATGTGGAGGAAGTGACTGTTGCCAGGTCCAAGCCTATGACTCAGGGGGCCGTGCATGTTTCTCTCTCTCCCTGCCACTACCACAAGCCCACCTAGCTGCTGGAGGACAAGGCACAGACAGAAGAGTGCCGTGGGCCCCAGCCAACCAGCCTGTTACCCATTGCACACAAGAGCGAGCCCAGCTGAGATCCACTATGCCCAGATCAGCAGAACTGCCCAGCTAACCCCCAAACTTAAGGGCAAAAATAAATGTTTATTATCGTGTGTCACTGGGGGATAGTGGGTGGTTGTCATGTAGCGTTATTTGTGGCAATCAATAACGGATATAGGCGTTCTGCTGGATTACATCAGATTCTTAGAAAACCTGTGAACTGTACCGCAGAGAGTTCCTTAAAGAGCCAGCCATCACGCTGCTTGCAAGACGCATCGACATTCTTTTTTTTTTTTTGGCCATGCCCCACGCCTTGCAGGTTCTTAGTTCCCCCACCAGGGATCGAACCCAGGCCACCACACTGAAAGCGCCAGCTCCTAACCACTGGGCCGCCAGGGAATTCCCTGCATCGGCGTTCTTAATCTATGACATGGGAGTCATAGCAGCTTAAAGTTGGGAAGGACTTCACAGAATGTCAAGTCCAGCTCTCAATGCTTGTGCCAGGGCACATCCCCTAAGCTAGCTTCCATCCTTGGTTTTAGGACGGAGGAAGTTTGATTGAGGAAGTCTATTGTTAAAAAGTTCCTTTTCAAACCAAGAAAAACGTACATCCTTTTGCATAATACATCCCTTCAAAGTATTGGAATATTATTTTCAAAACCCTTTGCATCTTTGGTAAGTCCCTTCATTTTCAACATTTCAGCCGCCCTTCTCTGGACACATTTATCAAAATGCCTTTTTAGGGCTTCCCTGGTGGTGCAGTGGCTGAGAGTCCGCCTGCCAATGCAGGGGACATGGGTTCGTGCCCTGCTCCGGGAAGATCCCACATGCCTCAGATCGGCTGGGCCCGTGAGCCATGGCTGCTGAGCCTGCGCGTCCGGAGCCTGTGCTCCGCAACGGGAGAGGCCACAGCAGGGAGAGGCCCGGAGCCCCAAAAAAAAAAAAAAAAAAAAAAGCCTTTTTAAACAGTGAGTATAATATTAGGAATCTCCCAGAATAATGCCATGAGTCCATCAGGTCCATTCCTTTGGCCTCTATTCCTGAGTTAATGTAGCACACAGTGTTTTTTTCTTTTTAATAGCTCTACATAAATCACACAGATGGTTCATCTTGGTCTTGTTATCATTTAGACCTGTGGAATCTGTTTAAAATGGACTGCTCTTCAGCCAGCTCTCCCCTATTCCTTACTTGGAAGATGGATTTTCCGAATCTGAACGTCCAAGAGTCAGCAATTTCCATCAATTGAATACCTTAACCTCAGAGTAAAGCGATATATCAGATAATTATCTCATCAAAGCACCGATGCCAATGGTGCCTGGTTTTGATCTTTTGGTTATAGTTATAAATAGCACCTGCATATCAATTATCAGAAAGATGTTGAGTGGAAATTTTAAATCTTCTGGTGGAGTCATCCTGAGAAAACTGTCATGCACGCACAAGTCAATGTCTAAATAGGATGGAAATATTACACTAACACATATTCCCAGGCTTCAATGATGCTGCTTTAAATGTAAAACTGTATCACCACTAATTACGGTATCAAAGGGCAGCTGAGCCATCACCAAACCTAGACACTCGGAAAAATTACACGTGTTTTTCACTACCAAACTGCATATTTTAGTATTTTAGAAATATTAGTTAAGTCCAGGTCTCTCTTCTCCTGACTGAGGTACAACTGTCTGCATTCACAGTGATGGGGCAGATACTCCAATCGAGCTTCCTTTGTCATTTCTGCATTTCTCCAGCTCTTACCTTCTAACTGCTTTTCTCTTATGAAAGAAAGCAAATTTATCCTGGAATCTTCCGGGGCTCTCAGAACTCAGTGCTCCACACTCATTCTTTGGCCGCCCTGTTTAGAATCCTTTAAAAGGAACCAGGTACTTGGCCCTGGGTTAGGCTTCTTCCCAAAACACCCAGGCCTTCTGGAAACTCCTCATTGAATCACCACCCCAGCTAGCCATGGATTCAAGAAGGTCAAATGTGTGAGTCAGCATCGGGGAGAAGGGCAGACACAGATTCCCCAAATGAAATGAGATGCTTCCAGGATAATACACGGAGATTCAGAGGCAAAATGCCATCTTCTGAATCACCAAAATCTCTTCATGAAGCTTCACAGTAAGCTTTTCTATCCAGGCATGAAATGTGCGCCTTGGTTTGATTCCTAGAGTTAACTGTAAAGACGACCCCCATACTTACAAGAGAACATCCTGAAAGTCTATGATGCCATGTGCCACCAGGTAGGCGCCAAAACGGAAACAGCCAGCGTAAGAAAAATACATCATTGCCTGGGTGATGGAAAACGTGATTCCAAAGATGTGTGCTTTCCTCAAAGAGTTTCTGAAAAGAAGACATTCTGAAACTTACTTGACTTTCAATTCTCAGTCCTTACAACGTAACCTTTCATGGGTTAGCAGTGGGGTATGAAGGTGTAGCAGACAAAAATGGGTTTCGTCTCCAAAACACTAAGTTTGGTCCTCACATCACCACTTGTGAGAATTTAGGAAAATACCTTGTCTCTGAACCTCAGTGTCTTCATCTTTAATGGAGAAGTAACCACACCTCAAAGCATTAAGGTCAAGTTAAAATAAGCCAAAGGCAACAAGAAGAGTTTGTTAGCGATTAATAAATTCCTTCCCTTTCCCCCACCCATGGACATATAATACGTACGTACTCTACAGTAAACATTCGTTCAACACACGTTGACCCAAAACCACAAGCTCGAGGGACCATGAAGGGCCAACACAAAGGAACCAGGCATGTTCTTGCCCTTGGGGATCCAGGAGTCAAGTTGGATTGTTATTTATGCAATGGAAGTACCTTATGAATCATGTGTTAAAGGAAGAAAGGAGAAGCACTAAGCCTCTAGGGGAGTTAGAGAAGGCTCTGCAAAGGAGTTAACACGTGGATTCTCTGATCCACATGGAACTGGGCGATGTGGAGGTGCGAGAGGCTGGTGAGTGGGTTGCCTACTCCTGCTTTAATCAGATCAACTTCTGCTTTTATCTGTTTCATATATTGGGATTTCAAGTGAATTTTTTTCATAAAAAAAGACTCTACTCTCATTTTGAAAACTTTGAAAACCCACTGATAAAAGAAGAAAGGAGACTCAGAGACTCAGTGCTTATGTTCACATCACTTTTTAGAGCCCTCACTGTGAGTTCATTAAAGGAAGAACAGAAGGTCTGCACGAGAGAAGGGTAAAGAGAAGAAGGAAGGGTGTACCCAGGAAGACCACCCCCTCAGGCTCCACAGATACCTCAAATTTCATGTTCCACAAAAAACTCATTCCCAGTGGGAACATATAATAGCATCGTCATGCAAATGTAGCTAGCATCAGAGTCATTCTCAACATCCTCTCTCCCTCCCCTCCCCTCAGTTATCTGCTCTTACAGGCTCTGCCTCAGAGATGTCCCTGCCTTAGGTCAGGTCTTGTGATTCCTCTCTTGGATTAATTATAATTGCTTCCCAATGGGTTCCCTTCTAGAAGTCTCTCCACTTGTTCCCTACCTTCTGGCCAAAGCAATCTTCCTGAAAACAAATCTGGTGATTGAAAAACTTCCCATACTCCCCTCCCACTCTTCAGTGGTTATTACCTGTATGGTACCTGCAAACTCAGGGCATACATATATTCAAACTTCTCCTCCCGAGTCAAAGAAACAACAGTTCGGAAGTTTTCTATTGCTTCCGTGGCAATCTGTAACAGAGAATGTCCCGTTACTAAAGGCACCAAGGCCAACAGTGGCAATTAGTTTGAATTCCATATAAGAGATTCATAAAATTAACTTTATTAATAAGTATTATTTACATATTAAATAATATTTATTATGACTCCTGAGCATCTCTGCTATAGAAAAGGATACCAAGTGACTTATCAAATCGAGATTTAGGTCTGGAAGGAAGATGGGCTAATTCAAACTCCCCTCTACAGAAAGAGAAACTGAAGCTTCAACAGATGAAGGCCCTTACCTAAAGCCACATGGCTTTACAGTAGCAAAATTAACCTAAGAACTCTGTATTTTATCTCCATTGCAGTGCCCTTTCTTCTATGATGGTCACATTTTAAGTTTATAATTATTATATATATAAAAGTTATTATAATGTCATTAAATTATAATATTATTAAAATACCTATAAAACATAATGTTTATATCTTTCTCTGTATAATTGTCATTTGAGACAACTAAAGAATATTTGGAAAATATTGAAAAGACAGGGAAGGTAATGAAAAGCTACATACTGGTGTATTTTACATAATAGCTTACATGTTGTTATTTTCTAAACTATACCTGTTTAACAAAATTGGGCTCAAGTTCTATGTTTGGCTCCATAGCCTTCTTTTTTACCTTAACAAATAAAGAGACGTTTCAAAGGTCATTAAACATACATTAACAACGGGATGTTTAAAGGGCCACTTACTATCCCAGCCAGCTAAGCAGTCCTTTACTGCTGAACAGAGCTTTCAATTCTTATGAAACATAATGCTGTGATAAACATCTTCATACATAAACGTTTGTCCATATTGAATTCTTTTCTTTTTTTTTTTTGTATAATTATTTTCTTAGGAGAAGTTCTTAAAAGTTAAATTACTAGGTCAAAGGGAATAAACTACTTTTAAGGAACACAGCACATATTATCAATTGGTTTTCCAGAAAGTTTCCATCTATATTTTAATTGAATTTAACTTCCAACAAGGCTATTTGACTAGGACAAATACATCCTTTACCACCTTTTGGAGTCTGGGTAAAAGAGCTATGGAAAATACAAGAAACATCAGCGTACAAAAGGAGATTTCAGCCTGCATCAGCATGAGACCCTGAAATGCCCTTCTATCTTGTTCTCCTCATCTGTAAAATGAGTAGGATGGACAAGAGGGTCTCTGAAGTCCCTCTTAACTCTAATTCCAAGAGAAATAATTTTTAGAATTATAAGTCTAAATTATAAATCAGTAAGAGAAATTATCCCTATTGTTTAACACGTTCTTCCTTTCTCTCGCCTCTACACTGGTCGGAACTGATTCTCATACACACACATTCAATTACATGAGAGTGATTTACAGCACACACACAAAAAATCACAAACCCAAAATCTTACTTATTCTTTACTGAATCCTACACAAATACCTAACTTCAAAGATAATAGTGGATATTTGATATGACATTGTTGGTTTTAAAGACTAATGCAAAAAATATTAGAAGAAAAAAATTAATACCATAATCTTCAAAACAAAAAGATATTTAAAAAATAAAGTTAAAAATATTATACTCTGACCCAGCAGGCCAAGAAGATTGTACTATGTTTACCATAAGCTACTAACAATACAGGAAAATGTCCAGATTCAATTTATGTCAAAATATTTTATAAAATTCTTTACATATTATAAAAATAGTATATACTCTTTTTAGAAAATGCTAAAAGTATAGAAAGCAAAAAGTTAGAGGAAAAAATTGACCTCCAGTCAAACCCCCAAAGACAATCCTTGTTCAGACCCATGGTAGAAATATTTTCAATTATGAGGCTTCAAACAAAGAGGTTTTTTGCATCAGTAAGAAAATTCAACAAACTATAACAATGTCTGCTGAAAAACAGACTGTACTGTAAATTTCAGTGTAATGATTTTAAGAAATATTTTCTGCGCACATTCTTCTAAGGCAGGTCTGTTTTGTTTGTGATTGGTTTGTAAATGTCATTGCTTTTTAGAGTGAACAGCCCAATAGAAGAGAGTTTATGAGTTACAGACCTTGAAAAGTCAGTAAAACAATATAATCACTAAACAACTGTCTTTATCTTGCCACACGATGAAGCAATTAGGAAAAGGATTAATTAGTACTCTGCATTCTTGCAGCTTCATTTGCTCCAAGACTTTTATTTTTTATTTATTTTTATATATATATTTTTTTGGGGGGGTGGCTCCAAGACTTTTAAATAGAGATTCAGTAACCACTATCGAGAGAGAGAACTTGTAATTCAAGAACAGGAAATAGCACTGAGTTTTCCTCAGAAACCATCATGTACTAAACAATTTTTTAAGAAAGGAAAAAATACATATATATTTCTAGAAAAAACTCACACTTCTCTTCCTACCCTCAAATAAACTGATTACAGCTTTTATTTCTAAAAAGAAAAAGCATCTATTCTATAAAAATGTTCATTCGTCAATAATAATGTGACAAATCGATGGAACACAGATCACAGGCAAGGTAGAGGTTATCAGCTGGCTCTGACATCACACAATCCTGCTCTGGAATCCTGGGCCTGTTCTGTCCCTCTAAGGGCAAACCAACAGATATTATGGTCCTGGTCCCCATTTTAGTAGGGAAGACAGACCATTAATCAATAAAGAAATAGGAAAGAAATAAAGTGCTGAGAAGTATCAGGGATTAATTCAAGTGCCAGGAAAGACGTCTCTGAAGAGTAATAATTCTGAGATATGAAGATCAGAGGGAACCAGCTTAGAGTGTTCTAGGAACTGAAAGAAGGCCCATGAGGCCAGAGCTGGGTGGGTGAGGGAAACATTAGTGCAAGACAGGATCAGAGAAGTCATGGGGCTGAGTCATGCCCAGGATTAAAGGGCTGATTTTATTGCAAGTGTGATCAGAAGCCCCTGGAGGATAAGACTGATGACTAATAAGAACCTGCAGTATAAAAAAACAAACAAAACAAAAAAAACAACGCATACTAAACTTTCTTTGGGTTATTTGTATGGAAATATGTTAATATAAATGTTCCAGACATTACATGAAATTTCTAAAAATCTTATATGTTCTGGTATAATGTTATAAGGCATAATTCTAGTTATTACTTGAAAATGTGTATCTCAGGAATAACTAAATTTCCTTGTCAATTGCATTATTATGAACTTACATCAAATCTTTAACCGTGGTCATTTTTAAGTCTTTTGTCATATACAGACAGTTCTGGGTGTACTCTGATGCTTTCGCAAAAATGTTCCTATAAAAGGGTTTCATCTTCAAGGAATTCAAGGAAAAGACTCTGACAAGTACAGGTTTCTGGTAACTGACTATACTGCTGACATGAATGAATAAGCATTTTCAGAACTCTACTGGAAAACTGATGAATTCATAAAAGTGCTAACAAAAGATCAAGATGAAAAAAATTAATTACATGGGACTGAGTGAACTGATGAGGATGATTATAATTTTTGTGACTTTCTGTTTGAATAAAAAAAAAATCCCACAAGGACTCAGAGGCAAAAAATATACAAATCAATTTTCACTGCAAAGTAAAGGAGCTGTTACCGTGGAGGATGACTGCACTGAATGTCAATATTATGACATAGTATGAGAGTGTTTCGTGTTTGGTAATTGCAATCATTGTTGCTTTTGTTGTGGTCATCCATTTACAATGCTTGGTGTCAGTTTATTTATCTCTTGTAAAAATAAAATACAGTGTGTGTGTGTGAAAAAAAAAGCCACTGCAGGAGTTAAAGGTTAGCGTGATTTTGTTTGTGTTTGTAAGAGAGGAGTGTGCCTTCTGTAAGAGGAATATAGAAAGCCGACAGATCAGTTAGGCTGCTGTGTGTGACTTCTCTGAACCTTGGGTTTTATTACCTAACAGGGATAATTCAAAAGGGTTATGGAGAGTGTCAAATGAGGTAATGCATGTAGAGCTCTTAGCAGGATGTCTGGTATACAATAAACAGGCAATAAACGGTAACCTGAGAATGGTGATCGGGTGGGAGTTGATTTTTACTATTTCATGGACCGGCTGGTACAGCAGCCACCACGTTCCCTACCTGCAGTTTCCTCTCTCATGAACCACCAATGGAGCAGGACATTCACCTCACCCCCAACCTTTACCCAGAAAACCTGCCATACTCACATGTATCTATTTCCGTCTGCACCCCTTCCCCTGTCCCCTCTGACAGAACTCCCAGATTCTTAAACCTGACGCACCACTTCGAAGGTGCCAACCTGTGGTTTGCAGTGAATTAACTTCCGATCGGTCATCTTCTTCCTACGAACCACCTAAGACTCTTCTGGGACATTCTGAACATCTCAGTAAACAATGACACTATAAAAGAGTAATGCACTTTCTTTATATACACATTTTTTCCATCTTCTCATCAGAGGAAGAGTCAACACCATAGGGGAGAAACCAACAAAGTACAGGATTAAATGAAGTGACTAGTCACAGGATGGACTCCAGACACCTGGGGGCCGGCACCATCCTGCTGAACCTAAGAACCGGGACTCTGATGGCCTGAAGGGAAACCTCACGTGAGGTCTTTCCCTCACTGGCAATCACTGAGAAGCACTAAAGCTGGTCCAGAGGAGTTTCCTGAAGGAATCCCAAAGACACAGGGTAAAAAGTCTGAGGAGATGGCAGGGAGGTGGAGGACAAAGTGTGAGTGGTAATAACCGACCTCCAGGACCCCCTCCATCCTCGTATCCGTGAGCTGCCTGGTTCAGAGGCAAAGTACCTCAGACACCTGGGTCACTGGATCTGCCTGGGTCCCTGCCCTGACTCTTGGGAACCTTGAAGGGTCCACTGATAGATGTATCCCTATCCTAGATGGTAGCCCCAGTTTTGGGGGTGTTCTGACCACTCATTTCTACAATGATACAGATCACATGATATCAGATTATGTCCCGCCATCTGCAGACCTCTTCGTTTCTTAACAGAGGCACAACTTGGGAGCACGACTGTCTGGGTTTGAATCCTGGCTCTGAAACTTAAACTCACGAGCTCTAAGGCATTGGTGGCATTACCTGCCTGTGACAGCCTCACCTGAAAAAGGAGCTATAATAGAACCTACCTCACAGGGTCACCCTGAGAAGTAAAGCCATTGCCATATAAGCATTTGTTCAAAACAACAACTCTGCTCAATACTCTGTAATAACCTAAATGGGAAAAGAACCTGAGAAAGAAAACATACACGTATATGTATAAATGAATCGCTTTGCGGTACACCTGAAACTGACACAACGTTGTTAATCAACGATACGCCACTGTAAAGTAAAAATTCTTTAAAAAATAAAGGGAGATGCAAAATGCAAATCAACAACAACAACAGACAAGTATACAACACCGCCCCTCAAAAAAAAAGTATTAGGGTAAGGGTAAACAGAAATAACATGAAGGGAGGAGGTGTATGAAAGGGAAAGAATGATAATACTTTAAGCCAGATAGAATAAATACCTTTAAGACTTTCCCATTTTTTTTAATCTCCCCCACTCATATGTAATTAAATGGGCCTCCTTTCCTCAATAAAGCAATGGATTTCTGCTTGCTCCAGAGAAAGAGGGAGGGAGGAGTGTGAAGATAATCGCCTGAAACTAGAAAAGCCTGACAAAATTAGTTGTCAGTCTGTGGGTCTAAGAATTTGTTTTGCTACTTTTCTTCAGTTTTCAACCGCTGAACAAGCGTCAAATAAGACCGCTCTGAGGAATGGTTATAAAAACATTCCTGGAGCTCAGGAAGTACTTGTAACAGAATGACACTGATTAGAATATTTTACTCTACTTAGGTCAGCAATTATACTCCGTCTGACTCACCTTCCCGGCATCTTCTAGTTCTTTCTTATCTTTCAGTGCTTGTCCAGACAGCATTTTCATTTCAATAACTCCTGCTACTGCAATGATGGGTACAATTGCTAACAGTAAAAGTGTTAACTGCCAGCCATAGATTAAGGATATAACAATGCCTGTCCCAAGATTTGCTATATTCTGGGTAATTACAGCAAGCCTGGAACCTATAGCCTGCAAAACAAACAAACAAAACACTGTCAGAGAGACACTTTCATATTATCTTTAAAATCCATGCTTATATATTTTTTGAAGGATTATGATAATTCCGCTTCGTGAAAATCTCATCTCCTCGGTTATGAAATAAAAAGTAAAGGTTTACTTGTAAGTCTATTTGGTTTCTAAAATGCGGATCTCTACAACTCCAGAATAAATACTAAAAGTAGATCAATCATTCAGAGTTCAATTACATATTTCTCTCTCATCTGATTTTTTAATACCAAGAAAATTTTCATTAAGCAATGACACCGTGATCCCTAATGCAAACTCTGCAAATTAGCAGGGTAACACAGTCTGACAGTTATATTCAACTGGGACTGTTGGAAATTTCCAGTGTTAGATAGATACATAACTACCCATAACTTAAGCCCAGTATTTGTCATTGAGGGTATACAAACACTGCGTTGGCTAAAAAGTTCGTTCAGCTTTAAGTAAAAATAAAAAACATTTTTCATTTTCACGAAGAACTTTATTGAACAATGTATTCATTAACTGAATGAACTTTTTGGCCAACCCAACATCTCTTGGCCTATTTCAGATGCTTATACTGTTTAGAAAAAATACACAGAGCTGGGCTTCCCTGGTGGCGCAGTGGTTGAGAGTCCGCCTGCCCATGCAGGGGACGCGGGTTCGTGCCCCGGTCCGGGAAGATCCCACATGCCGCGGAGAGGCTGGGCCTGCGCGTCTGGAGGGAAGATCCCACATGCCGCGGAGAGGCTGGGCCTGCGCGTCTGGAGCCTGTGCTCAGCAACGGGAGAGGCCACAGCGGTGACAGGCCCGCATACCACACACAAAAAAACAAAAAGTACCCACAGAGCTGAAAGTTATGGAATTTAAATTTAGAATATTAAGCAGGCATCAGAACCTTCAGCTTATATGCCAGAGGGGGCCTGAAGCATGATTTTCAGGAGGATGCAGTTATTTCCAACTCAAAAGCCAGAAGTCGAAACAGAAAGTCAATTCACTCCACTACTCTATACTTCTCTCCTTTACCCTGGAAACACCCCATGCCCTCAAGCCTTTCCGAATTCCCGCCCTGGCCCCTGGATCTGCTTTTTTGGAAATGGCCCATGTTTTTTCCACTCCCCAAATGTCCTCTGCCTGAGGGGGGCCAGTCTCAGGGAAAGATTATGATGCAGGACAGTCTAGAATGGTCACTGCCACCTCTGTGACTTTGGACAAATTCTTTCCAACCCCAAAATGAGCAGGTACATTGATTAATAACTAAAGCTCCTGTCAGCTCTGAATGTTTAGGACAGAATTCTCTACAAGCCCCGTGTCTCAATATCGAGCCTCTGAAATCATTCAACACCTATGTTGATGTAAACACCAAACCAGTAATTACGGGAAAATGCTGTTAAAGTAAACTACCAGTAACTCTACACATTAAATTCTATACCAGGGAACTGCACCAGGGCTGAAAGAAACAGCATAAATAACAGAGCGTTTATTTTTATTTGATGCAGTCACTGAGCTTATGATAAAGGGATGTTTAGACAAACTTGGTGTCAAAGAGTAGAGCGGCCTTCAAAGCCAGCTCTCTGTATCTGCACATCTTCAATCTCAGAGTCCAAGATTCCAACCTGGAGTCAGTCTGTGGCACAGGGATCATCGAGACTGTTCCTGTGCTCAGTATGTACAAGTCCTACTCAGAATTCATTTCCCACAGCACCTGACTGAGAGAAGCATTCAGAACATCCCCCAAGTTCACGGCAGACGAATTACCCCAATACCTAAGGTTTCACAGATATAAATGTTCACCTGTGGATGGTAGCCAAGGCCACAGAAATAAGTAAAATGTATCATAGATGACAAATTCTTCTTTAGTGTACATGAAAGATGATCTAAAAGACCTAGAACCTTAAGCTGGAGGGAAAGTAAGCCCCTTGGCTCAATGTGATTTAATGCTTCCAGGGACATTGCACTGGTTACCAATCTTTAAAGACTGACACTCACTGTCCCATCATCTATTCCTCACACAGAGAAGGTGTCTCTAGGACGCTCCACGGGAGAGCATGGATTATTAGTAGTAGCCAAGTCATTTTCATTTTGAAAGTAAGAATGAGAGTAGGTAATACTCCAAAACCAGAGTCCAAGAGTGAAGCAAGGTAAGACAAAACGCTTTAATACCCGAAACCCACTAAGACTCTCCTCACAGTGGCTTTATCCCACTGTGCTATCACATACTTGTAACACTTGCTCTCCCACTCATTTTTCTCCCCATCTTTCCCTGTTTTCCCCTCTCTGGCTGTTTATTTCCTCCTCAAAGCACCATCGTATGGCTTGAAGTCCCATTTTAATATATGTGTGCTTACTGGAGGAAAAAAAAAGCCTATTTCCTGAAACTCCTTTTGAAATTAAGAACATTTAACTTCATCTTTCCCTCAAATACCTTCTCCCAGGGGGGAAAAAAATTTTTTTTAATACATAGCTGCTTTTGACTTCTATATGGCTCTCATTTGCTTTTTTCTCAGAATTCTAATCCTTACAGGAAAATTAAATTTAAAAGCCCACAATTTCATAAGCAAAATATTTAAATATATTTTCTTCTGATTTACGGTTAGCAGAATTAAGCTACTTGCTCAAAAATACATCAGAGAAAATGTTTCATTGATGGTGAAATATGAAAAAAATTTAACCTAGATAAGCATCATCACTAACTATATACACAAAGACTTGAGTTCACCCTGTTTTATGTGGCAATGATCTTTGACAGGACTGCTTGGCTTAGATATTTATATACATAAAAATTACACTACTTCCTACTACGATATAGATACACACACACGTGTGTATGTATATATATGTGTGGATATATATGTATAAATGTATATACATAAACACATGTATCCACTATCATAAACAGGTCAGCTGGTCCCATAAAGGGGATTCACCTGTCCTCTCTCAGCCAATTTGTGGTAACAGCTATATTGGGCTTCCCTGGTTCCAATGATGCTCCCCAATCTGATTGCCTCCTCTTCCCTGGTCTCTTTTTTAGCCACTTTTACATTCTGGAGAACAGTTCTGACTCAGAGTGGCTGGCTCATACAAGGTGTGCAGGTGTCATCCGTGCTACTGGGGCCATGAAAGTGGGAGTTGGAGGAAACAAGCGAGAAGCAGACACCTGACCCAGATAGGCAATTAAGCAGAATGGAGTTCCTGGATGTGGCCGAGGGCCTCACGAACAACACCGCAGAGGAGAAGGACTGAGCACTAATTCTACAAACAAAGGAAAGACATGACTTAGAGGAATTATGAAGGCCTGACTGCCAGTGCACAGTGTCCAGGCAGCATCTGCTCAGGGTTTGGCTGCAAGGGGCTGAATTAGTGTGTTTCCTCCAGGACGTGTCCCCCTGTGCTAAATGGGATGTGGGACGTGTGTGTCGGTGAAAGCACGTGAGTGCACACGACAAGGTCTATGTGAAAGGGATACTAAAGTTATGGCAGCAAAGTTTAGCTAGGGAATTCATGACTGAGGAAATTTCAGGACACAATTTGTCCCCGGTGATCACCATCCCCAGGAAAGGCTCTCCCAGGGAGCCAGCCGAATGGATTAACCCCAAGCTTGTTGATTCTTATGCTAATTTAAATAAAAAATAAAACAGAGTAATACTTTACGTCCTCCTCCACCTACCAACCCATTTCTCTGCCCCATTTACCAGAAAATCCTGTAATGATTTGTCCAACTGTGTCCTAATCCTCTTTCCATCTTTCTCGTAAACCCAATCCCATCAGGCTTTTGCTCCCATCGCACCCCTGAAACAGTCCTTGTTCGAACCATAAGCACCTCTGGGTGGCTACAGCATTGTACAATGTTTGCTCGTCTTACAAGCTTATCAGCAGTATTTGAGATCCTAGACTGCTCCCTCCTTAAAATGCTCTCTTCATGTTGTCCTTGGACACTGCCCTTCTCCCTCACTGGCCACTTATGCTTGCTCTTCTTTGCTGGGTCATCTCATAGCCCTGAGCTCAGGGCCCAGACCTTGCCATCTTCTCTGGCCTCCCACGCTTCCTTGGCTATCTCCTCCTGCCTCATGGCTTTAAAAGCCACCCACGTGCTGAAAAATCTCCAAATGTGTTTTTCCAGACCAGACTTCCCTGCTAACCTCCAGACTTGCAAATCCATCTGCTGTCTGGACATCTCCGCTTGGATGTCTACTGTGGGCATCTCAAACTCAACACGTCCCAGACGCAACTCTTTCAACAGGCTTCCCGGTTTCATTAAAAAGCAACTCCATTTCTTCAGTTGTGCAGGTCCAAAATTTTGGAGTCATCTTTAAATCCCTTTTCTCTAATATCTCATACCACATTCAGCCGGCCAACAAATTCCGTTGGCTGTGCCTTCAAACTATACCCAGAATCTGATTTCTTGTTATCACTTTCACTATGACTCTCCTAGTCAAAAACACTATCTTCCCTTCCCCTGGATGATTGCAATAGACTCCCTGCCTCTCCCTGACCCCTTCAGCCTATTCACACAGCAGCCTTTAAAAATTTCAGATCATGGGGCTTCCCTGGTGGCGCAGTGGTTGAGAGTCCACCTGCCGATGCAGGGGACACGGCTTCGTGCCCCGGTCTGGGAAGATCCCACATGCCGCGGAGCGGCTGGGCCCGTGAGCCACGGCCACTGTGCCTGTGCGTCCGGAGCCTGTGCTCCACAACGGGAGAGGCCACAACAGTGAGAGGCCCGCGTACCGCAAAAAAAAAACACAAAACTTTCAGATCATGTCCCTCCTATATTCAAAACCCTACAATGGTTTCTCATATAATTTCAGATATGATGCTGATCTCAACTCTTATATGACTTTCCCTTTCACTCATTTTATTCCAGCCACACTATCCTCCTTGCTCTTTGGGGAACAGTTGCAGAAATAAATGCTCCAACCTCAGGGCCTTTGCACTTGTTGATCCTTCTGTTCAGAATGTGCCACCCTAGACATCTATAGGGCCGGCATCTTTCCCTCCTTCATGCTTCTTGAATATGTTGCCGCATCATCGAGATTGCGGCCTTCCTTCCCTGACAACCAGCAAGCCCCTACCACCATATCCTGCTGCCATTTTCTTCCACAGCTCTTATGACAATCTGACATCCCATAAGGGCTCAGGAAGGCCATGGCTGTTGTCTCTTTTAGGAAGTTCCAAGTTATTTCAGGCAGTGTACGTTCTGTTCTGTTAGATTCTGCACAGCTTGAGCTAAACCTCAATTTCTGTTGATTTGTTTAAGTATTATATAAGTACTTATATAAGTATTAAGTATTTATATTGAGATTTTATAACTGTATCTGCTTCCACATTCATAACCTAATTTATTTTTACAGAAGCCCCATATATTAGTTATAAGAAATGTAATCATAGTACTCTTACAGAAAGATTAAAAGCTAAAGATTGCTAAGGTTCAAGGGAGGGAAAGACATGGCAGAGATCACATGCTTTTTTCCCCCCAAATTCCACATCATCCTGTAGATTTTTGTCATAAACAGTTGTAGTTAAAGGAGAAGTTGTCACTTTATCCACAAATCAAAATCTGCTGGTTCAATAGTTTCTAGTTATATCCCTTAAAGAGATTCACATAGTAGCAGACTTTAAGTTTTATAGTCTGAGCAAGTTGTTCCTTCTACCCTTGTTTCAATTTTTTCATGCTCTCTGCATTTCTTTCAATCTTTTTTTTTTCACATCTTTATTGGAGTATAAATGCTTTACAATGTTGTGTTAGTTCCTGCTGTACAACAAAGTAAATCAGCTATACGTATACATATATCCCCATATCCCCTCCCTCTTGCATCTTCCTCCCACCCTCCCTATCCCACCCCTCTAGGTGGTCACAAAGCACCGAGCTGATCTCCCTGTGCTATGCGGCTGCTTCCCACTAGCTATCTATTTTACATTTGGTAGTGTATATATGTCCATGCCACTCTCTCACTTCGTCCCGGCTTACCGTTCCCCCTCCCCAACCCCCAGGCCCTCAAGTCCGTTCTCTACGTCTGCGTCGTTATGCCTGCCCCGCCACTAGGTTCATCAGTACCGCTTTTTAAAATTTCATATATATGCGTTAGCATATGGTATTTGATTTTCTCTTTGTGACTTATTTCAAATCTGTATGGCAGACTCTAGGTCCATCCACCTCACTACAAATAACTCAATTTTGTTCCCTTTAATGGCTGAGTAATATTCCATTGTATATATATGCCACATCTGCTTTATCCATTCATCTGTTCTTTCAGCGTTTTTAAGATTTTCTTTGCTCCCCTCTGAACTTTAGTGCCCCTTAACTTTCTTACAGCAACTACACACATTCTTTTTTTCAGTAGCTATTATAATTTTCTGGGGGTTAGCAAAGCATTAACACAGACTGAACCTTCATGATATGATGATAAATACTTCCCTTTCTAAATAACTATCCTTCCACATGTATTTTGTTAATAGCACGAATAAGATGGCAAATAACAAAACAAAGCTTATAAGCTATCTATATACTATATAGTACATGATATTTAAATAGTTAACATTTTTTGCCATAAGGCACTTGATATATTGCATAGGTTAAAGTTTGAACATTTTCTTAATGATGAGAATTAACTGTAGGGAGAAAATTAGTTTCACGCTGAAATTCAAAATGGCCCATTAGGATAATCACAGCAGAAAGGAGGCAGTCAGTACCCCTTGAACTTGAGCAGCATCATTGGCCAGCCTGGTCGTCAAGGCTCCCGTGGTGTTTTTAGGGTCGTCAAACCAGCTCACATCCTGTGATACAGAAAATGATTTCATTATCTTAAAGCCCGATGTTTGAGACCCTCAGCTCAGAAGGCAGTGACAGGGTCAGGTTCATTTATCACTTATCCTCCTACATTAAGCAGTCAGGATTTGATACTGAATAGACAAGAAAGGGACTTAAGAGACAAAGTCATAAATAGACCATTTCATTTGTCAAAGCAACTTTTTGAGTGCCTACTTTGTTCCAAACATAATTTTTAAGTGTTGGATCTATTCAACAGTGAACAAAAAAGACAAAGTCGCTGATTTCATGAAGCCCAGATTCTAGTGATGGAAACCACAGATAAAAATATACCATGCCAGGTGATAATAAATGATAGGAAGAAAAATAGACTGGGGTAGGAAGGAAAAAAAAGTGAGGAAAGGCACTATTTTATAGATTGGGAAGGGGAGAGAGAAGTCCTCTTTCAGGTGACATTTGAGCAGAGACTTGAATGAAGAGAAGGATGAGAATATCTGAGACAAGGAAGAAAGAGCATGTGCAAAGGCCCCGAGGAAAAGGCATATTTGATCTGTTCACATACAAGCAAGAAAGCTGTAAGGGCTGCCACCAGTCTTTTTTTTTTTTTTGCGCTACGCGGGCCTCTCACTGTTGTGGCCTCTCCCGTTGCGGAGCACAGGCTCCGGATGCGCAGGCTCAGCAGCCATGGCTCACGGGCCCAGCCGCTCCACGGCATGTGGGATCTTCCCGGACCGGGGCATGAACCTGTGTCCCCTGCATCGGCAGTCGGACTCCCAACCACTGCGCCACCAGGGACAGATATAACTGCCACCAGTCTTAAAAGCACCTCTGTGGGAATGTGTAAAGCCAGCTCTTCCTCTGGAGAGACTTCTGTCCTCACTGGGCTCTCCCACTCCTCTCATACCCGCATGCAATGAACCAATGGGTCTAGAGTAGACTGTGTATGGGAGAGGGGGCGAAACTACAGGAGATGAGGTCTGAGAGGTAGTGGGGACCACATCGTGTGTGACCTTATAGGTAACTGTAAAGATTCCAGATTTGGGGACTTCCCTAGCAGTCCAGTGGTTAGGACTCCACACTTTCACTGCTAAGGGCCCGGATTCAATCCCTGGTCAGGGAACTAAGATCCCATAAGCTGCACGGCACGGACAGTAAAAAAGAAAATAAAGAGTCCAGGGACTTCCCTGTTGGTCCAGTGGTTAAGAATCGGTCTTGCAATGCAGGGGATGCCAGTTCAATCCCTGGTCAGGGAACTGAGATCCCACATGCTGCAGGACAACTAAGCCCGTGCCTCAACTAATGGGCCTGGGTACTCTAGAGCCCGTGCACCGCAACTAATACCTGATACAGCAAATAAATAAATAAACATTAAAAAGAAAAAGAGTCCAGATTTTACCCTGACCAATATGGGTAGCTTTCAGCAGGTATGGGGCAGAGGGATGTGATTTGACTTTTTATCTTAGAAGAATGATTCTGGCTCTCGGGCGATGAACCCACTGGATTGGGATAAGGATGGAGGCAGCGGGACCAGTTAGGAGGCTGTTGTAATATTAAACAAACTAGAGTCGAGGACGACTCCAAGGTCATTAGCCTGCACAATGGGTAGAATGGAGGTGCCGTTTACTGATATGTGGGAGGACCAGGAAAGGAGCAAGCCTTGTGGGGAGGGGAGAGTCAGAAGTTCAATTCTGGAAATATTAGGTATGGAATGCTTAATAGACATTCACACAGAGAAGTCGAATCAACAGATAACTGTGGTTCAGGGCAGAATAAACCAATTGGGTTTAAAAAAAAAATCGACGAAAGAAATCTATATTAAAATTTAGCATTCAGGGCTTCCCTGGTGGCGCAGTGGTTCAGAGTCCGCCTGCCGATGCAGGGCACGTGGGTTCGTGCCCCGGTCCGGGAAGATCCCACATGCCGCGGAGCGGCTGGGCCCGTGAGCCATGGCCGCTGAGCCTGCGCGTCCGGAGCCTGTGCTCCGCAACGGGAGAGGCCACAACAGTGAGAGGCCCGCGTACCGCAAAAAATAAATTAATTAATTAAAAAAATTTAGCATTCAACATAAAATAGGATTTTCTTTGGAAAACCACTTACACTTTTCAATACAAAAATACTAGAAAGACTGAGTTTGAAGTACCAGTTTATGTCTGTTACAAGAATAACTATGGTCCTAAGAAGTTACCTCGACGGGTGATCTGCAATTAAAGCAGTACCTATCATTTTCCCCAAAAATACTGAAGGAAATAACCACAGATATAGTATGTATCCGTTTGCTTTTAAAAATTGTTCAGTGCTTAAGTGCCTCCCCCACTGAAATGTAACTTCCGTGTACTAGGGGCCATTCTGATGTGAAGGCCTTACAATACCTAGTATTATGCCTTGTCAGCAGAAGGCCCTTAATGCATGATGGCTGGACTTAATAATGTATGGAGAGGGCATTACACAAATCATCAGCTCAGCTTCCAAAGAATAATGGACGTAGGAGTTGGCCTGGGGGCTGTAGGGGCAATGGGGCATTTAGCCCTGGACCAAAGCCTTGAGTCTAAATCCAGTGTCACTTATAAATACGGTTTGACCGAAAATCCTAACACAGGGTCCTCGACCAAACAGTGCTCTTTCACTCACTGGATTCAGTCCTGGCTCTGTCAGTCACAAGCTAGCAATCCCCATAAATAAGTCTTCTTTTTACGTGGCAGGGGTAGGAGTAGGAAAGGACTGAAGAACGAAAGACAGCTGGGAAAATGTGAATGTCATCTAGACATCAACACAGCCAAGTGGTGTTCCTCAGCCACGGTTCAAGTACGCCCAGCATATCCGGGGCATCCAGATGGAGCATCATAGTATTAGTGAGTTTAAAATGGAAAGTTACAAAGTCACAGACAAAATCTGCATGATTGTTAAAGAAACTTTCCCCTTTGAACTGGGCTGCTCTGGGTTACATGTCCAGAATCCCCTTCCCCCTTTCCCCAGAAAAACATTCACATCTGTCTGTCCTTAGGGTTCTGAAGGTGTTAAGTGTGAGAGACATTCCATTAAATCATTATCAGCTAGCAACACTGCAGCTGGAATTAATCTACCAGTCTAGCCCCAGCGAAGAAACTGAGCAGCAGGGAATGGGCCATGGGGATGACTTCTGATCTGTGGAAAGAAAGGGTACAGGAGGCATTTCCTGGTGGGAAGAAACACAAGTATCCTGGGTTTCCCCGGGGAAAGACGGAAAGAAAGAGAGGAAAGGGATGAGAAGCATGGAAGATCGCTTCCACCTACTCTGCCTACAGCTGCTGAGACAGAGGCTGGAGGTGAATCTGCCCTGGAGACTCCCATTTGTCTCGCGGGCACCCCCGTCCTTGCGCCCACCCAGAGGAGACCTCCCAGGGCAGGGCTCTGAGCCTGACCCGGTGGGCGGTTCAGCAGCATCTCTGATATGCGATTGAGGGACGATCAATACAGGAGCTCTGAGTAACCGGACGGCGCCCCACTGCTTCCCCGCAACATGTCACAGCGGGGCGTTCTGCATATCCCAGGCACAGCCCTCAACAGACATACCTGTCTCAGCATGGATCTGAAAACCATGTATCGGAGCCGCTTGGTGAGGATCTCTCCGGCCTTGCCAAACGTGTAGCCCTGTGAAGAGTAACATGCCCCGAGGGAAAAGACTTGTCAGAGACCCAGCCGCTGATGACACAACAGGAGGGGGACTTGGTGTCACCGCTAAAGCAGGACACCAGACAAAGTCAGAAAGCCCAATTTCAAGGCGTGGCTCTCTTTCGGTGACAGTGTACTACGGCGGGTAGCCGCACTGCTGGCAGAGCCGGGATCGACACTGCCGCTCCCCAGGTGGGCCCGTCGGGGATTTATTAGGACGTGGTTTCTCTGTCCCCCGTTCCCCCTCCCGCTTATTTCTCCCCGTGAAACAGGGTCTGTCACTCAGGAAGCTGGGGAGTTGTTCCCAAGGCAGAAGGCACTCTAAACCGGGGGTTTATATTACGTATCATCCAAACCAGAACATTTTTGAGCGTGAGAAGGGGGGATGTATCATAAGTACACCAGGACCCGAGGTGCAACCTGGGAAAACAAGAATATGCAGCCACCCCGGCCATAAAAGATACAGACAACAAAGATATCAAATTCTTAGTTTCCAAGTTAAAAAAAAAAAAAAAGCCAAAGTCTAGGAGCAAAATAGTTGGAAAGACTTACGGAGAGAGAATTTTCTGCACTGCCCTTCCCCTTTCCCCAAGGATATAATCTGTGTCTGGGAGGAAAGAAGAGAGTTTGGGGAAAGAAGAAAGTAAGATGTGATTGTATGGCCATGCTGGGCCCTGGCTGGGGAGGAACGAGGACAGACCCTCATCCCAGTGAGTTTGGGGATACAGGACCAGAAGGAAGCATTGCTCCCCTTTCTACCTGGAGCGCTGGGGAGTGGCAGTTTACGGATGAGGCTTGCCACACAATGGCCTGCAGAAAGCTGAGCGGAAATGGCTGGATGATGTATCAGAAGAGGAGAAGCCCTAATAACAGCCTAGTGTGTTGGACGTTACGGAGAGCAAGGGAAGAAACACGTGCAAAGAACACTCTTCCACGTGCTCCTGACCAAGGAAGACAGGTTGGACCATGTAACGGAGGGCCACCAGCCCCTCGGGTCACCAGCATGAGGCAGGGGGGCAGGGGAGGTGCACAGACCACCACCCTCTGCCCAATGCTGTAATGCTGCCTAACCCTTCTGCGAAAATAGACACCAATCCAGGGAGAAGGGGGAGAGGGAGAAACCCTGGATTAACTGAGTTGAGGCCTGAAGTTATCAAAATGATTAACTTTACTTGGAAATGACCAGATGAAGGTTTCTGCTATCAGACTGAATGAAATCTGAACTATCTTGCCCACTACAGGAATGTTACTGTTGCTATCTTGTTGAGAACTTTCATTAAGTACTTCACAAACATTGTAAGTCCTCAGGACAAACCTATAATCACCACTTTACAGAAGAAATGGAGGTTTAGAGAGGCTGGTAAATTGCCGGAGGCTACAGTTCTAAGGTGGCAGAGTTGGAATCTGAATCTTCAGTCTAAAAGAATCTTAACCAGAATGAGAACCCAGAGCCTGGGATTTAACCCCACAGTCAGCTCCTTCCTTGTATTTCTAAATGAGGAGTTGGCATTCTAACATCACCATTAGGCACTGTGCCACCTCTACACTTCTGAGGTCCTGGGATTCAGAGCCTTTGTTTTCACCTTGGTTTGCCAAGCAAACCAGGCTCCAGTTTCTCTGAGCATCATTATGTTACAAAGGTACCACTTTAACTGCCTTTGCTTCACCAATTCATATCTCCAGCTCAAAGCCTACCTCCCTCCAAATTTCTTAACCAACTGCACCCGCAGCAAGCTCTACCTTCTCCCAACGCCTATGGCATTAATAGTTGGTAAGGCAATCTCACATACAATTAGAGTATCACATTTATTCTAGTATGATCAAATTCCCCAAAGAGACTTCCAGTACTCAGTAACAAGAGTCCAGAGCTTTGGACCTCCTATCATGTCCAGAAAAGTGTTCTGTCTGTTCAAAATATGAATACATGCTTACACCATGTAAAATAAAGAGACCTATTGAGAGTTCTATCTTAAAAAATTACATGTGACTAATCATTCATTCATTTAATAAGGGATTGTGTTTACAACTGCCTCACACAGACCTAGGAACTTAGTCTTATCATCTCTTTTAATCATCAAGCATCAGCTACCATTATCCCCATTTTACAGATGAGGAAACTGAGGCTTACACAGTTTAAGTTACTTACTTGCCCAAGGACACAAAATTAGCAACTGGAGTAACTCATACTTGACCCTAGCCTAACACCAAAGCCCACACTGTCTTACCATGCTGAGCTTTTTAGAGCACTTAATTCCTTGCAATTTCATCTCAGCCAAATGATTAGCAACTTGTAAAATCTGAGTCTTTACAAAGGTTTCCTACAGTTTTTGTTTGAAGACTGACATTTTTCCATCATTAAAAGTGTTCCTTCTCCTTTAGCAACAGATAAATGATAAACTCTTCAAACATTTTTAAAATCAGTGTAACTGGCTTATGGGGTTCTGGGCTTTGTTGTTGCTTTTAGAACACTGGAAGACATTTCTCTAAGCATTTAAACTGACTGGCAGTACTTATATCCAAACATATGTCCAAGGCTCCCCTAAATCCCATTTTTTAGAGCCTAGTGTCAGCAACAAATTGGTACTTGCCATGTTCCTCTACAAGGATTAAATCATGTGCTGCTGCAGCTGCTGACTTTCAACACCCCCTGAAAGGAGTTCAGGGTGGAGAGCAGAAAGGAGGCACTCTGTGTTCTGGTAAAAACTGGCAGAACAGGTCTTCAGATAGATATTTTCAGGAGCCAATTTTATGAGCCCAATTCCTGTATCTCCTCATATCTAGAAAAGCACTAAAATCCTTCATGGTGACAACTGCTCCTCGTGACTAACAGAAACCTGCAAAAAATATGTGCTTGATTGCAATGTACTCCCCCTTCACCAAAATCATATATATACTGACCTTCCCCTCTCCCTCCTAGGAGCAGTTTCTCCAAGCTATCTGAGATGCTGTCTCCCTGGCTGCAGTCCTCATCTTGCCCCAAATAAAACTTAACACATGGGACTTCCGTGGTGGTGCAGTGGTTAAGAATCTGCCTACCAATGCAGGGGACACGGGTTCGAGCCCTGGTCCGGGAAGATACCACGGAGCAACTAAGCCTGTGTGCCACAACTACTGAGCCTGCACTCTAGAGCCCACGAGCCACAACTACTGAAGCCCACACACCTAGAGCCCGTGCTCCACAACAAGAGAAGCCACCACAATGAGAAGCCCTTGCACCGCAACGAAGACTAGCCCCCGCTCGACGCAACTAGAGAAAGCCCGCGCGCAGTAACAATGACCCAATGCAGCCAAAAAAACTTAACTCATGACTCTCACACTGTGCATTTTTTTAAGTCAACATTAGCTTTCATTTCCAATCACCAGCTTAGATCAAATACTCTCTGCTCCCTCTGACTTCATTAACATTTCCAGTTGGGGGAGGAGAAGGTGGGAAGGAAGTAAGCAAGGGAGCCAGAGGAAGCAAAACATCTTTGTTTTAAAAATGTCAAAACAAGTGGCTGCTAACAGCCCAGCAACTAGAGGAGCAATTCTACTAAAAAGCAAGTTATTACACAGATGTTTAATAAATTCCCCCAGTTGAACAATGGTACATTTCTCAAAGTGAAAATGTAGACACTTACCTGAAGGAAAAACGTAATAAAAGAAATAATTCCAAGGATTAGAAACAAGAGTGAAAACAAGTTACTATTCTGTCGTTTGGTTTCAGGATCGTCATCTCTGGTAAAAACCTGTCAAGAAAATATTTAAAGGGTTTTCAGTACCACTGAAGAAATCATTCAAAGTCTGACCCATTTTGCATCTAGCAGAGTATTCGGGGCCAAGGGAGCCTTAGTATGTGGAGGTCAGGGTGGCTTCCCTAAAGGGGGACATATTTTGCCTTCCCTGGGGACCAAGAGTGGTCCTGTCATTCATCAGTCTATCCAGCTCTTTTTCTGCTCATACTACTTCTTGGAGTAAGAGTGCCACAAGGGGGCGCCACACCCACCACAGCAGAATTGGGAACAAATACTCTGCTTCCTTTGACAGGAAACTACACTGTGTGTCGATCTATTGTTTTACAAGTTGGACATTTCGAACTGTCCCAAGGTGTCTAGAGACACATCTGCTGATGTGGTTTCGGTGAACCCAGGAAAGGTGCTCATTCATTCAGCCCAGGCCTCTCCAAAGAAAGGCGGTTCCTTGAGCCAGCCTCTGTAGGATGGCCAGTTAGATAGCCAGTGGGCAACTGCAGCCAGCTGACCTAGAACCACATGTGGAGACCTCGGTTAGAAGAGCTTACAGGATGCCCTGGGCTTCAAGAACAGAGAATAACCATGCCACAGGGAAAGAAAATCACCTCCCTTCACAGTGGGCCAAAATCAGTCTTGTGAGAGCCATATTCCTAAGCCAACCCAGACAACTTTACCCTTATAAAGGGGGAAAAAAAAAAAAAGCTTTTTGGAAGAAGTTAAATTAATTTTTCTTGATTCATTCCAACAAAAATAAAACCTGGGCTCCCCTGGTGGCGCAGTAGTTGAGAGTCCGCCTGCCGATGCAGGGGACGCGAGTTCGTGCCCCGGTCCGGGAAGATCCCACATGCCGCGGAGCGGCTGGGCCCGTGAGCCATGGCCGCTGAGCCTGTGCTCCGCAACGGGAGAGGCCACAACAGTGAGAGGGCCGCAGAGCGCAAAAGAAAAAAAAAAAAAAAAAAAAGACCTAACAATCAGTGAGCTCTTACTCTGTGCCAGGCGTTATTCTAAACAAACTCATGTATACTATCCTTACCCTCACAACCACCTCCTGAGGTTTGTTATCATCACCATTTTACATAGACGGAAACTGAAGCACAGAGAAGTTAATTAACTTGTTCAAGGTAACACAGCCACCAAGTGATGACCCAAGGCTATACCCCCAAGCAATCTAACTCAGAGCCCACAATCCTAAATTCTGTGTTACAAACCTTCAATGAGGCAGAGAGCTTGTTCCCTACCCAATATCTAGGATTTAATATGTCTGCCTTGGACCACCTGTTTCCAGGTCTGTTGTTACACGAGGAATGAGGAAAACCTAAAATTTGTAAGTTTTTGTTATACACAGCCAAATCTATTCCTAACTAATCCAATTCCTTTTCTTTCCCTGATGATGCCACTGTCTACCTCTGTGCCTGCAAGACAAATGTTAGAACAGGGACCGGCCCCAGCCAATCTATGGTGGCTATGGAACACAACCATGTTTCTTTGCTTCTGAATGGTTACTTGTGCACTACAATGACAAGGTTGAGCATTTGCAACGCAGACCATCTGGCCTGCACAGCCTAAAATATCTACTCTCTTAGCGTTTACAGACAAAGTTTGCTAACCCCTGGCCTAGAACATATGCTCCATGGAATCAGACACTTCCTCCCTTTCCTGGTACTTTTTCAGCACGCAGAACAGTACGTGCACAAAGCAGACAATGAAGATATTCCTTGAAGGACTACATCAAACATGTGAACGCCAACCGGAAATAAGTTAGCCAGGCATAGGTGGACCGGCATATTTATGTATCTTTTAATATAATCAAAAGTTAGCGTTTGGTCTATATTTTGTGTAGTGATCCATCTCTTTCTCTACAATGTTTCTAGCAGTTATGGCAAAGGTGTCCTCAGCTTGTCTGAACATCTGTCATTAACAGAGGGCACTCCTGCCTGGATTGTAACTTCTTTGTTGAAAATGCCGAAATGAAAAGCAGGTGCAACCGGCATCTGTCAGCCTGCATCTTTTGGAAGCCGTCCCATTTGTTTCCTCTTAACACGTGGGATGGACATCTCACAGAGGCCCAGCGCTCAGCCTGCTTATGTCCTGACAAGCACATGAGTCAGAGAGCAGCTCTGTCTTGAGCCAGTGTGATGAACATACGAGGAAGTCTCTTCGCACCCTGGCGATAGGACAGTTCCACTGGACTCACAGTCCAATGACGGCAGGTAGGGGACAGTCATCTAAGTCAGTTTCGTGGACTATTTTTCAGGGATCTCATTCCCAGGGCCCTAGGATAGAAAGCAAATGCCACGACCAAGGAAGCTTTGAAAAATTAGTTTTCCTATCACAAACAAGACTTCTATTCCTACATCTACAAGCTGGTTAGTGTCATATGAAGGTGAGCTGCATGTTTTTGTGGTTTCTGTATAAAGTTACAAACACAAACAGTTCATTCTTTAGTCAGGACTCATAAGTAAATCTCCAAAATGGACATAAACACTTACCCCTATAATCCTTGAAAATATTACTGAAAATGCTGGTTGCAGACCTCCATTTACAATGGCACAAAATATACCAACCACAAAATAAGGCCATTCAGTTATATTCAGCTTCAGAATCCTCCAAAAAGAAACTGGAGGTACATTTTCATCCTGGAGAACACAAAATAATACAACAAACTCGTCAGGAAAGAACTGATACTTAACTGATTTAATTGATGTACAGTTCTTCTGTATGCAGAAAAATTTTTAAATGAATATATCTTTTTCTTACTTCCTTATCAACTGATGGCTATTTACCTTAAAAAAAAAGTGCTGACAGATTCTGTTATATCGTTCCTTTATTTCTTAAAAATAAATGATTCCATAAACATTTAAGTCTGACCTGACAGTTGGAACGTGACAAGTATATTTATAAGTAAGGATGAAAGAACAAAAATGTTTGTGTTTGAAGACCCACTGTAATCTATCTCTTTAAATTATAAATTCTAATTCTAAAATTCTTGTCCTATAAATTCCAACTTGAGTCTAAAATGTTGAGATTTGGATTTGTGGAACAGGCTAGGGGATAGGACAGGAGGATTCTGGATAACCATTTCTTGTTCCCACTCGTATCCCAGCCTTAGCCCACTGGTGAAGACATAAGTCCACAGCCTCCTCCGTACCGAAGTCTCTTCTGTACTAAGCTTTCTGTTTTGGCTTTGTGGTCCATGGATACTCTTGCGAGTTGATCTTCTTCTTATTAGACTGGATCCTAAATCTTTGGGGGACGTGTCCAAGGCATCAATTTCACTTTCGGATCCACCAGCTGCATTTTCTAATTCAATATCATTTCCTTTTGTCTAAAATAAATAAGAAATATGCATAAGTTGGTTAGACTCAGTTAACCAACAAAAACTAATCGCTTAGCAGCAAATATCAAGGAAATGGCAATTTAAGTCTGTATAGGAAAAGGATAAAGTTAAACTGCTATTTTCTGGTGTGATTATATTTGAAAATTAAAACCACTAAATGAGTATTCTCAGAAAATATGCTGAAACAACATGGCATCCGTTCCATGTATCTAGTCATATACTTTTTGTGGGTGTTTTTGGCTCAATCATATTTGCTTTGGACCCGTGTTATCAACAGAAATACGGTGCAAACCATATTGTGAGCCACAATTTTTTTCAGTAGCCATGCTAAAAAAAGTAAGAGAGGAAATATCAATTTTAATTATATATTTTATCTAACCTAATGTACCCAAGGTATTAGATCAACATGTAATCAGTGTAAAGACTTGTTGAGATATCCTGCTTTTTTTTTGGTAAACTAAGTCTAAGTCTTTGGACTCTGGTATGCATTTTCAGCTTACAAACACTTCAATTCAGATTAACCACCGCTGAAGTGCTCAATAACCACATGTGGCTAGTGGCTACTTGAGTGGATAGCTCACCTTTAAGCCTTTTTTAACTTTACTTTTCTCTAATTATCCTTCTTTATGTTCCCTCCTTTCAAGAGAAAGAAAAAACCTCTAAAAAACACTGGTCGGATCCTGAATCCCACCCAAGTATTTTCTCCCTCTTCTCAAGATAATCAATGGTAACATTTATTTATAGCACTGAACACAGCAAAATCAGCTTATGCCTAACATATCGTGCTTTAGGAAAATGCTAGAGTTAGACTATACCTGCATTGTGACAAGCTTGAAGTAAATGCCTTTCTCCTTCATGAGTTCATCATGACTGCCTTTCTCCACAGTGACTCCATCATCAAGACCAGCAATGACATCAGCATTACGAACTGTGGACAAACGATGCGCGATCACGATGGTGGTCCGGCCTTCTCTGGCCTAAAGAGAGAAAAATTTGGTTTTGGAATACAGGAACAACTATCTGGAAAAACTCATTAATTCAAGTTATATTTACTGACCACCAATGCCTTGGATATTGCAAAACTGTGTAAGCTATATAAGACAGTCTCTGCCTTCAGTAAATGTACAGTTAGTGGTTTAAAGTGATGTTCTAAAAAAAATTAAAAAATAATAAAAATAAAATGATGTTCTATTATAACTATAAACACAAATATGATAGTCTCATATTAATATTATGTAAGCCTCTAAGTATTTTAACTCAACCTCTCGTAGCCTGTTTATAGTAATCATCAGGGGCTTATATAAAGTAAAACACCCTACAGCCCAAGAATTGGTCAATCAGAGCAGGTACAGGCCAGTTGCTACACTGGTGCATACGAGCTAGCATCAGTCCTGGGAATCACCATGTCCTATCTCACAGGACATTTGGATGATCAAGACAAATAATAAATGTGAAGCAACAAAGTACAGACTTCAGCGTTGTACTGATCTGAACTCAAATCTTAGTTCTGCCATTTATGAATTCCAGGAGTTTATACAAATCTTTTAACCTGTGTGAGGCTCAACTTATTCATATATAAAATGGGGATAATAATATAGTGCTAATTTTTAGAGTAGTTGTGATAACTACAACAATGCACAGGAAGCACTGTGATGTACACAGTAAATGCTTAATAAATGATTCTTATTCCTAGGGAGAAGCATCATGGAAAACTGAAGAGCTACGTAAATGTTTAAACGCCCAATCTCATTTTTATTTTCATATGGAACAGAGCCAGAGAACTAGAACTCGCCTGAGATTTCTTTAACCTTTGTAACTCCCAGTGCTTATAACGTTTGTTACTCTATATTTCTCTCCAGGAACTAGCAATAAAATTCTCAAAACAAGCTAACAAAAAAAAAAAGGTATCAGGATCAGTATGAAAAAGAGAAGTGAAAAACTCTGAGAAGAAAAAAAAAATACATGTCAGAAAAATACTCTCTAGGTGGTAGCAACTAGAAAGTAGAGAAGGCACCGGATCAGCTCCATGGATGCTTTCAAAAGTCGGGGATGTGGTATTCCCCCCCAAAATGTGCATGCTAAAGAAAAGGTATTTTTAAATGCAACCTTTCTAAATTCATTTTATTTATAATTTAATACATAGTGCCATGGTAGAATTATAAGAAAATACAGATGTGACATTATAGATAAGCAAAGTGAAGGGGGAAAACGCAGCCACAATCCCATCTCTTTCTATTTTGGTTCACAGAAGTTTTAGTGACCTGCTTTTTCTTCTCTCAACAATCTATTACGCACTCTGACAGAATGTTTAGAGAAACAGCGTTGTTCTGTTATTACACAGAAGAGGAACTGGAGCAAATATGAGTTCATCTTTTTTTTTTTTTTTTTGTCGAGGGCCCTCCCCTGCTTGGGTCTCTCCCGTTGAGGAGCACAGGCTCCGGACGCGCAGGCTGAGCCGCCATGGCTCACGGGCCCAGCCGCTCCGCGGCATGTGGGATCTTCCCGGACCAGGGCACGAACCCGCATCCCCTTCATCGGCAGGCAGATTCTCAACCACTGCGCCACCAGGGAAGCCCGTGAGTTCATGTTTGAATTCTACTGGGACACTTCAACTTGGAGCACTTATGGGTTAAAAGGTTTCCCCGTTTCTTGTCCTCACAGAGTTGGCCTGGTTACCATCATACACCAGAGACCAAGCACAGTGCCCGGCACAGCACGAGCACTCAAGTCCAAACTGGTGAATGAGTCACACAGACTCGAGAACTGCTGGAAGGTCAAACTCTGTTGATGGTCAAGGACATTTCATGGCTCAGGTATGTTTCCAACATCGGCAGCTCTCCGGCACTTTCCTGAAGATAACAGGTTTCTCATTTCCCACAGAGTCTTCAAGAGGCATCTAACATGCTGGAAACTGTAAACCTTCCTCTCGTTGACAACAACAAAAACTCACAAAACCTAAATAACAGGGTCATCGCTAAGGCTCATAAGTTTTCAAGATAACAATAAGAATCCACCTGCCAACACAGGGGACATGGGTTCGAGCCCTGCTCAGGGAAGATCCCACATGCCGCAGAGTAACTAAGCCTGTGTGCCACAACTACTGAGCTCACATGCCACAACTACTGAAACCCACACACCTAGAGCCCATGCTCTGCATCAGGAGAAGCCACCGCAATGAGAAGCCCATGCACCGCAACAAAGAGTAGCCCCTACTCGCTGCAACTAGAGGAAGCCCATGCACAGCAATGAACACCCAATGCAGCCAAAAATAAAGGAAAAAATAATAATTTGCAAGTGTCTTTAAATGAAAGCTTATTCATGTCTACCTAAAAAATACCAGAGAAATAGAGCGAAGTTAAACAAACAGACCCAAAGAGGCCTGATGGTTTTAACAGCTTTAAGCATCACTTTAGAAGAGATTTTAGAAAAAATATCAGGGAGATCAGCTCGGTGCTTTGTGACCACCTGGAGGGGTGGGATAGGAAGGGTGGGAGGGAGGGAGACGCAAGAGGGAAGAGATATGGGAACATATGTATATGTATAACTGATTCACTTTGTTATAAAGCAGAAACCAACACACCATTGTAAAGCAATTATACTCCAATAAAGATGTAAAGAAAAGAATTAACAATGGAATGTTCTTGTGCTTATAAATCAGCTAGGTTTGAAATGAGGTTCACCCACCTTATCCAGGGCCACCTGAACCACCGCTTCGCTCTCAGTGTCCAGTGCTGAGGTGGCCTCATCCAGCAGCAGGATCTTGGGGTTGCGAACCAGAGCCCGAGCGATGGCGATTCTCTGCTTCTGTCCACCACTCAGCTGGGCCCCTCTCTCTCCAACCAGGGTGTCAAATTTCTACAACACAGAAACCACAGGAGGATTAAGCAATAGAATAAGCTATCTCAGCTCAGATTATAAGATGGCAAGCAGGGACTTCCCTGGTGGCGCAATGGTTAAGAATCCACCTGCCAATGCAGGAGACCCGGGGTCAAGCCCTGGTCCGGGAAGATCCCACATGCCACAGAGCAACTAGCTCTGTGCGCCACAACTACTGAGTCTGCGCTCTAGAGCCCGCAAGCCACAACTACTGAGGCTGCATGCCACAACTACTGCAGCTCATGTGCCAAGAGCCTGTGCTCCACAACAAAGAGAAACCACCGCGATAAGAAGCCGCACACTGCAACAAAGAGTAGCCCCCGCTCGCCGCAGCTAGAGAAAGCCCGCGCACAGCAACGAAGACCCAACGCAGCCAAAAAATAAATAAATTTATTAAAAAAAAAAAAAAAAGATGGCAAGCAATCCCATAAACAACCCAAGCCTCACAGGCAGTATGGTCCAGTTCCTTAAACTTAGTAATAACCAACCCTAATTAAAAATAATATGTATGTCTACTACTAGTTGATGCTGCTAGAGCTTTAAAATCTGAAGTCCTCTTGATTTCCCTTCTTAGGAGGTTCCTCCAGTTTACAGTCATTTCCTAACTTCCTATGCATCAGGCCAGCATTTTATAACCCTCTCGCATGACAAAGATCGAGAAGGACTTACATTAGGCAGTTTCATGATGAAGTCATAGGCGCTGGCTTCCTTCACAGCTTTCTCAATCTCATCCATGGTTACATTTTCACGGCCGTAGCGAATGTTCTCGGCTATGGTGGTAGCAAACAACACAGGTTCCTGACTCACCACACCGATAATTTCCCGCAGATACCTGACATTGATGGTCCTGATGTCCTGTCCGTCAATACTGATCTGAAATAAAAAGTAGGTGTGATATTCACACACTGCAGACTTGTGATGTATAATCTGCAAAGGTAACTCAGTGCCGCAGCACCTAGTTCAGCAAGTCATCTCACCACGCCCTCCGTGGGGTCATAGAGCCTCTGTATCAGCTGGACCGTCGTGCTTTTCCCACAGCCGCTGTTTCCAACCAGTGCCACCGTCTGCCCGCTCTCTACCTTCAAGTTGAGGCCCTTCAAGATCTATCATGATGAATGAGAAATAAACTTAAAGGCAATACACAGATTTTGAGACTATGAACTCAATTCAAAACTAGGTTTAAGGGCTTCCCTGGTGGCACAGTGGATGCGAGTCCGCCTGCCGATGCAGGGGACACGGGTTCGTGCCCCGGTCCGGGAAGATCCCACATGCCACGGAGCGGCTAGGCCCATGAGCCACGGCTGCTGGGCCTGCGTGTCCGGAGCCTTGCTCCGCAACGGGAGAGGCCACAACAGTGAGAGGCCCACGTACCGCAAAAAACA